GGCCCAACCACGGTGTCCACTAGTGAGGGGTCGTAAATGCTTTGTGTGTGTCCATGTGCCTGCGTGTGTGGAACTGGCATTGAGCAATCTGCAATCCCTTTTTTTTTTTTTTTTTTTTTTTTTTTTTTTTTTTTTAAAATATTTATTTATTTAAGTTCTCGGCGGACACAACATCTTTGTTTGTATGTGGTGCTGAGGATCGAACCCGGGCCGCACGCATGCCAGGCGAGCGCGCTACTGCTTGAGCCACATCCCCAGCCTGCAATCCCTTTTTATTTATTTATTGAAACCAGGGTCTTACTAAGTTGCTGAGGCTGGTCTCAAACTTGCAATCCTCCTGCCTCAGCCTCCCTCCTGCCAAGTAGCTGGATTACGGGCCTGCACCTCCACACCTGGCTTAATGCATTTTTGACTTAACAGGATTTCCAATGTACAGTGAGTTGTTTGGAACGTGATCCCATCATCACCCAAGGAGCCTCTGTACTCTTGTTAATTTTGACAATTTGAAAGAATTAGTCTCACTGATGCTGCAGACACCTCGCCACCGAGTACTGCCCAGCCTCCTCTCCCTTGCTTGTTCCCTCACTGTCACAGGTCCTCTGGCCTCGACATGGCCCCAGCCCTCTCTACCACCCTGGCTCAGGCCCGATGTCTCAGCTGTTCCCCGTGGCTGCCCACCTGTGCTGGCTGTGAGTCTCTCCCTTCCAGGCCTCACCCTGCCTTTCCCCATCGCCAGCCTTGTTACTCCCCGGGGGACTGAGGACCCCAAGGAGCCCGCTGAGCCCTGAATCTCAGGACCAGGCACCTGGGGGAGGATTTTGGTTCACGCAGCTCAGAACCAGTAGCAGGAATACGGGCTGGGCTGGGAGGAGGCTGAGAGCTGGACCAAGCCCCCTCTCCCAAGCTGTTTTCTGTAACTTTCCAAAACTAGTAAGATGAGCTGGCACCATGAGGCCCTGCCGGTTCCAGTCCCCAGTTGCCACCGTGGGCAGGCGTTGCTGAGGCCACTGGCCCTAGGCCTTCCCCTGGGCAGATAAATGCTTGCTTCTCCCTCTGTCTTTGTCCATTTTCTGTTTGCTATAAGAGAACACCAGAGACTAGGTAATTTATAAAGTAAAAAAGTGTATGTAGTGCACAGTTCTGGAGGCCAGGAAGTCCAAGAGCAAGGCCCTGGCGTCTGCTCAGTGCCTTTTGCTTCTTCAACTCACATTGGAAGGCAAAAGCAAGTGAGTGTGTATGAAGGAGGCTGGACACCATGGTGGAGCGCTGGCGGAGGCCGCTTGAGGCCCTGGGTTCAAGCACCAGCACCACACAGGGAATAAACCAAGGAGCTGGACAGAAGAGGCCGCCTCGCCTTGCTTTGTGGCGACCCGCTTTCCTGAGAACGAACCCACTCCAGAAAGGCATTGACCCTGTCCTTTCAGTCACCTCTCAAGGTCCCCCCTCCTAAGGACACCATGGCAGTTAGCCAATGGCAGTCGAATTTCGGCAAGTGGACCAACCAGATTCAAACGGAGGCTCCCTCCTGCTCTCTGCTGTCTCTTCCTTCCTTCCTCTTGCTTTCCCTCTTCCCTTCTGCCCTCAGGGCTGCACCCCCACCCGTGGTGCCACCCCCACCCGAGCACATCCTCCCGCCCTGCCATGAGCTGGGCTGGCCTTGGCAGCTCAAGGGCTGGGCTCCTGCCCAGAGCTGTGTGTGTGACCGGACAGGGCCCAGCTGGCCAGCCTAGGCCCCGCTTCCCACAGAAGTGAAGCCCCAAGGACACCCCTGACAGGGCCACCAGGCTGGGGAGGGGCAGGAGGGAGGCCGAGGCTTCGAGGGGAGGGGAGGAGAGGGCCGCCCTTCCTGCGGTGCCTGCTGGTAATTGGCTCTCTGAGGCCAGCCTGCGACACCGGGGCCAGCGGGCAGGAAGTGGTGCACAATGCCGCTCTTTGAGGGGAGACTCGGCTGGTCTTAGGTCCTGTGTGACTCCAGGGAAATCTGGAGAACAGCCTGTTCCCAGAGGATGTTCTCTAGCCCAGAGCCCCCTCCAGAGGTGAGCCGCTGAGCCCCACTGCCCACCCTGTGCCCGGGAGCCCTGCCCCCACTGCCCTGGCCTGCAGGTAGGCCCCACCTCAGGCCAAGTGACGTCTTGCAGAGCCTGGGGCCGACAGGGATGGGAAGGACTTTGTCCTGTGTGGCCGTGAGCCACAGTGCATCCGCCACCCGCCACCCTCTGCCCTTTGGTCAGCAGTGGGCCTGTATAGAGGGACAAGGCTGCATCCCCTTTGTCCTTAATCCTAGTGGGGAGGAAAGGCAACATGCGTGTTGGCTACATTAAGAGAAACTAGAGTTCTTTTTAAAAAAAGAAGAAAGAAAAATAGGTGATTTGCCCCAGTAGCTTGGAAAGTTCTAGAAAATGGTAAAATACAATCTTTGGTCTGAGACTAGGACAGGATTTAGAATGTTGGTAGTTGGGGTCGTGTGACATAGGAAGGATAGAGAGGTGGCGTCCCAGGCTTGAAGTGTTATTAAAGCAACGGAGCTGGGCCCCCAGGAACTTCTGCCTGGTGACCTCGAGGTAGCTGACATCCGAGGGTCCTGGAGGGCCTCAGGTTGACCACAAGGGCTCAGAAAGCTGAGCTCGGCCCTGCCTGGTGCCTCGGAGCCCTGAGCAGCCTGGCCATGGAAGCTGGGCCCCAGGCCTCCGTCCACAAGAAGGCCTCTGCCTTCGGGCCTTGCTGCAAGAGGAGGGCCGGGCATGTTCCTTGGATCTTTGGTTTAGTTGGCCCTAACCTAGGCCAGGCCCCATGGTGCAGTGGGCAAACATCCACACTCTCCCTGGTTAGAACGCTGCAGAAGTAACTCCTGCTTCAGGAGGAGGGAGGGATATCTGTATCAAGTCCCCTGCTTGAGAACCTTCTGTGGGTCCCCACCCCAGGGCCTTGTGCATGTGAGGCAGGCACTCTGCCAACTGAGCCACATCCCCAGCCCCCACATCCCACTACTTCTTGCCCTCGTATCCAGGACCCTCCATCATCTGATGGCCTTTACTGTCTAGCCGTGGGAAGGGACCTAGAAGTCCCTAATCCAACTTGAGCCGGTTAAGTCTTTTTCACAGTCACCTCGAGTGGTGATTTACTGAGAAAGTGATACAGTGTCAGCCAGGAGCAGTGGTACATGCCTGTGATCCCAGGGACTCAGAAGGCTGAGGCAGGAGGATGGCAAGTTTGAGGCCAGCCTCAGCAACTTAGCGAGATCCTATCTCAAAAAGTAAAAAGGGCTGGGGATGTGGTTCAGTAGTTTGGTCCCCCTGGATTCAATCCCCAGGACCAAAAAAAAAAAAAAAACCAAACAGAAAATGATACAGAGTCTGAAGTCTCCTTCAGAATAATCCAAGGACAGACTGACTGGTCAGTGGCTGGTGGTATAGAATGGGGGAGGGGCAGCCTGCCAACTACAGCTGCAGGGCTGAAGCCAGCCACCACCTGGTTTTGAAAACAAAGCCTTATTGGGTGCAGCCATGATCATTTGTTTATGTATGTGTTTCTCAGAGGCAGCCTTGAGACTGATGGGGACCATGTGGCCCGCAAAGCTTAGAATATTTATTAACTAGTGCTTCCCAGAAAATGTCTGCTGACCCTGGCCCTTGGGAAGCCAGTGTGACCACACGTTTGTAAGGCTTGGTGTCAGGGCCCTAAGGCTGGTCTCCGTGTGTGTGTGTGTGTGTGTGTGTCTCCAGGCTTTTCCATAATGGGAGCTTACGACAGCACCTAAACCCAGGCACCCCAGTTCTCATAAGCCACCCTTGGAGACAGAAGCCTTGCTCCCTACAGGCACACGGAGGAGTGTTGACTGAGTAGCTGACCGTGGGGAGACTGGAAATGCACCGTCTCGGTGTTTCCACTCTCGGGCTGGGTCACTCAGGACACCAGCTCTGTGGAATGGCATCTCCAAAAATGAGCAACAGGTGTGCAGGGCACTCGGGGAGAGGTCCAGAAAATAGTTTCCCTGTGAGAAAAGCTAGATGTGGGAAAGTCTACAAGTGACCATCCCATGTTTAAAGCCTGCGGATGACAGCTTGGTGTGTTGTCTATGACTTAGGGGCAAATGACGTCCACGGAGGGAATGGAACAAAATTTTTTAAAAAGAAAAGATTTCTACTGAAGAAAAGTGCATCTGAGACATGATTCCTTTGAATGTGTTTGTGTCAGTGATATAGCGATGGATTTGTGCTCTGCAAAATGGAAAGAGACCAGGCCTGGCGTGGTGGTTCGGGCCTGTAATCCAAGCAGCTCGGGAGGCTGAGGCAGGAGGATCACAAGTTCAAAGCCAGCCTCAGCCACAGTGAGGCACTAAGCAACTCAGACCCTGTCTCTAAATAAAATACAAAATAGGGCTGGAGGTGGGGCTCAGTGGTAGTGTGACCCTGAGTTCAATCCCTGGTGTCCCCCAAATAAAAACAACTGGAAAGCGATATTTCTCATGTCCTCTGGATGTAATTAAGGAAAGAGAAGGGAATCTTCCGGGGGAGTTAGAAAATGCCCGAGAGAGGAAGGTGGGAGACCACAGTGGCCTGCCAGGGAAGTCCCTGTGGGAGGTTAGAGGGACTAGAGGTGATGGAGGGGCAGCAGGATGGGTTTGGGCCATGGTCACCATCCGCCGGGCAGCAGCGCCCCTCCCTCCTGCTCCCTGAGGAATAATGTTTCCCTGGGGATGAAAAGCCTCCCTTTGTGCCGGCTTTAATTGCCACCTCCTTGTGCCAAGTGAGTGAGTGGCAGGCGGGAGCAGCAGCTGGGCACAGGCAATGCCAGGCAACTAAGTCCGCTCCCTTAGGACAGCCAGGCCAGCTGGTCTGGGAGCACTGCCCACCTTTGCCCCCAGCGTCCACCAAGGAGCCAGTGGCATTTTGGCAGGGGGTCAGCGGGCAGGGAGGCCATGGCGGGGGCAAGAGGGTCTCAGCCCCCCTCAGAGTCTCATTCATTTCACCCGCCTTTCCCCTCCCCCTCTTGTTTTGCAGACTGTCAGCATCAATAAGGCCATTAATACGCAGGAAGTGGCTGTGAAGGAAAAACATGCCAGAAATATCCTTTTGGATGTTGCTCCAGGCCGACCCTGGCGGGGTCAGATGGTGGGGACTGAGGTCAGGAGCAGCCAGGTTGGAGCAGCTCCCAGGGAGAGTTGGCTTCAGGGACCACGAGCCATCTGGGTGGACTGAGGCCTCCCGGGACCACCAGGTCAATGGACAGTGGCTTTCCTTTGAGAGGCCTCCTGCAGCTCAGAAGGATTATCACCTGTTTGCAAAGCCCTCCAGGGTCTCACTTGGCCCAGAGGGCCACACTGACCCCCTTAGGGGACACCACGGTCATTTCCCCTTTTCTGATCTTGAAACCAAAAAGAAAAAAATGTCTCAGGTGCAGTTCAGCCGAGGCAGAGGTTCAGCACGGGAGTGAGAGCCATCCTTGTGAACAGGTGCAACAGATGCTGGACGAAAGCAGGAGTTCAGAATGGACCAGGGAACTGGTAACTCAAATGCCCCTCTCCAAGGTCCCCACCCCAAGCCCACCGACATGGCTCTATGGCTTGGTAGACAGGTGCAGGCCGACGTTAGCTAATGGATCACTTGATCCATCCTGAAAGGGTAGAGTTTGGGAGTTTAATCCCTGAAAGCTGAAGGCAAGAGGCCCCCAGTGGGCTAAGCCTTGGCGATGTGTCCCAGGGCAGGGCAGGTGGAGTTCAGGCCTTGGATGGCTGGGGGAATCCCAGGTGCCTGGGCTCCTCTGAGTTGCTGTGCCCCATCCACTCAGGCCCAAGGGCCTGTCCTGAGGTCAGGACAGGCCTCAGGGCCTGGGGAGGCCTTGCAGGTTCATGGCCAGGGGGCCCCAGCACCGATCAGTGAGCTTTATTGGTTGAAGTTAGGGCGGGGCTGGAGTGGGGAGCACGGACCCACTGGGTGCCTCTAGCCGGGTCCTGCGTGAGCCCAGCCAGCTCTTGCCCATTTTCCCCAGAAGTGTTACTGAACACTTCTGATCCCCGGAAGGATGAGTTTTGCAGTTTGTTCACAAGGCAGCTGAGTGTGGAGCAGGGAGAACAGGTCTCAAATCCGCCCCTGGGGACAGGTCGTGCCGGGCGACTGGGGGTCAGAAGGGAAGTGAGGGTGATCTGCACATGGTAGTCAGTCATCAGGGCTCTGGTTGGAGGCACATTCAGAAAATGGTGGTGGTGTTGTGCTCTATGGGTGGAGTCTTAGGCCCTCTGAGTCAGAAGGTCACTCATGGACACTCTCATAGGCCCAGGTGAAGGGATTGGTGGCTTCAACCAGTTTGAGCTGCACAAGGCCACATCCAGATTCCTGAAAAACAACTTAGTGGTTAACCCTGGGGCCATCCCCAGAACTGTCCCCAGAGGGACAGCAAAACCCCTGGAGCCCAATACTTATCAGTTGGGTGGCTCCTAGAATTGCAGTGAAAGCCAGTCACTCTAGCAGTTGACGCTGGAGGGTCTGTTGGCTTTCCCCTCTGTTTGGAAAGGCCCAGGCCCCTTCTTTAGTGTTCCACGCTTGATTCTTTCACCAGGATTAAAAATGTACCAAGGAAGGCCCTCGTTTTAAGTGGCCAGTTGATTCTCTCAGGGCATACTCTGTCCCCACCCTTGCCTGCAGAGAACCTGTGACCAGCCTGACATAGGGCGGGGTGTCATCATCAGGGTCTCTTCTGGGTGCCGGGGCTCTTCAGAGGGAGGCCAGGCCTGCTGTGGCAGGGCCACTCCATGCACGTCACGGCAGGCTACCTGGGGTTGGGCAGGCAGCCTCTGGAAGAGACTCCAACTCCCCTCTGGAGCTCCCCGGCCCACTCTGAGACCCAGTTAAACTAAAGAGCTGGCCAAAGATTCCAGAAGGTGAGTGTCCAGTGCTGTCATTCTGTGAATCTCTGATTGACGCTTTCTTAATGGTGGATAAATGTGGGAACCACCCATTCCCCTCAGCAGGGGTACACGGGCCTGGTGGAGAAGATGGAGACACATGTGTCTTTTATTAGCTGTCCTGGGTGCCACCTGAGTCAGCCTCAGGAATTGTGACTTCAGAAATGCTGTGAAGACAGTCATTTATCTTGGAAGCTCAATGGGGAGCTAGTCGGTCCCCCTCGTGATGAGCCTGGACTGAGTCTTAGATTTTCTTTCTGTACCTGACTCAATCACGGACATAAAAAATGCCTATAAAACAAAAGAACGACAAAAGGTTCTCCTGGCTTCTTTCAAAGTCGGGTGCCCACTGGCCTGGTACCTGCTCTGGCTTCTGTTCGGGGAGACTACGCTCAGGTACTGTGACCACCACCCCCGTGCCAGGGGAGGGAGCCACCGGCTCTCCTTGTTGCTTCCTTCTCCTCTGAACAGAATCCCAAAGTTTCTATTCATAAACTATTTCAAAGATCACCCCAGCATCGAAAACAGCTCTCTGGTCCAGACCTGAAAGTACAGGAAGCCCACCCCCCTTGAGATGAAAATTTCATCCAGGACAGGGACACAATGGCACCTTCTAGCTCAGAAGCTCAGTGACCTGCGTTCTGCATGAGTCATTGAGCCTGTGACCTGGGCACAGTGCCCTGCCCTAAGTAGCACTGCATTTTTTACCCAAGCCTGGATAAAGAGGGCCCACGTTCAGGGTCAAGAGCTGAACTTGGTTGAGGTGCTGGCCAGGAGAGCCGGTGGTGGCAGTTGGGCTCTGAGGGAATTCCTGAAGAGCTCGCGTGGTGCGGCGTGTGTGTTCAAAAAATAAAGTTCATTCCTGCTTAATAAGTGGCTCGTGAATTGTGCCCAGCCAGACTGTGGCATTTGGTGGCCCGTATGGGGAAACAGCCCAATGAGCATTTCTGTAACTGGGGTGACTGGGCTAACTGTGATTAGTTAGGCTTCCCACCGCTTGATTGCACTCTCCCGCTTCTGTAACCTGGCTTGCTTACATTGTCTAGACCCCCGAACATCACTTTTGCAGATTTCAGGCTTATAAGGAGTGCCCTTGCAATTGTTCAGGGCTGATCAGGGGAACAGCTTTATGTTCTGGTCAGTCGCCACCGATGTGCTTCGATAAAGGCTTGATTTGATTATTAAAAAAAAAAAGAGCTGAACTTAGGGTCAGTGGTGCCCAGTTCCTGGGTCTGTGATGCCACCCTGAACGTCACAGAAGACATGGGGAAGTCCTCTTCTGCCTCCGAAAGGGCCTGCTAATGACAGATCTGCAACACACACTGAAAACCACCCAAGGCCAGGCCAGGTTGGTCTCCAGACTGTGGCAGGCAGCCTGCAGGCAATAGGTGCATTTGGAATTGGGTCCAGGGAGGAGCCACCCCAGGACTCCACATGCAGGAGTTTCAAGGTGTCCCAGGACCAGGGCACCCCTGAACAGGCCAGGAGGTCTGTGGAGGAGGTGGGGTGCCAGAGGCACTTGGAGTTTTAAGGAAGGGCATTTTAAACAAAACTTGCTCCTCCACCAGGCACGTGCACCCCTGCTGAGGAGAATGAGAGGTTTCCACATTTATCCACCATTAAGAAAGTTTTAATGCTTTTAGAGCATAACCTGTGAGGAGTTAGAACTACTTCCTAGAAGAGGACCCCAGAGAATCAGCCAATCAGGGTGCAGGGTTCCCTGCGTTAGCCACAGTTATTCCCCAAGGGCTCCACCACCCACTTGGCTTACTCAAGGAGTGCCACTAGGACCACTCATGGACTAGGGGATGATTTCTGCAAATTAGAAACTGACCCCTTCTCTCCAGACACATCCCTGGGGAAATTGCCTCATAAAATACCTCTTACCAGAACAAGGCGTTGTATTGGCAGATGAATGTCCAGGTCTGTGGGGGCTTAGCTGAGCAGTGTCCCCCAGGTGGAGAGGCCATGGCCGTGCGGCTGCCTGGCCCTCCATAGTGGCCAGCAGCCTCCGAGGCAGGACTCGTGCCTTTGTTTTCCATGACCCCTTCACCATGCATCCTGGGCACCCACCACGAGAAAGGCGCTCAGACCTTCTGGTCTGTGGTCAACCGGCTGCCTCTCTCCAGCAACGCCATGCTCTGCTGGAAGTTCTGCCATGTGTTCCACAAGGTCCTCCGCGATGGACACCCGAACGTGAGTCCTTGGGGCTGCAGGGGAGGCTGGGCACCCCATGGGTAAAGCGCCTGGGCCACAAGCTGGTCCACTGCCACACGGCTCCCTCCTCTCGGCCTTTGGTTACTGACGAGAGGTTGGTGGATGCCTTCCAGTGGGGCTCTACTCTCCTCCCAGGCCCAGTCTCAGCGTCCTCTGGCCGCCCCATCTGTTCGCTCACGGCTCTTCCTTTCCCTCCGCAGGTCCTGAAGGACTCTCTGAGATACAAAAGTGAATTGAGTGACATGAGCAGGATGTGGGTGAGTTTGGAGATGCATCTGGGGCCACCAGCTGCACCTGCTCCTTCCACAGAGGCTACAGAGCAAGGACCATGGGATGGACAGATTCAGGCTCTTTCAACTTGTTTAGGATTTCTTCCTGAATGTCAGGGAGGAGGTACAAGTGTCCCCAAATAGTACCACAATGTCCACTCTCTTGCCTGGGTACCAGGAAGCTGCAGAAAAGTTCCAAGGTCTGGGAGCCTCTCTTGCCAAGGGAACTCATGTCTTGAAGCTGTCCGGGTGTTGGCATTCCTTAGCAGGGACATACCACGATTCCGACTTCTTTCCTTCTGTTGGGAATTAGCATTTTTAATTCTTAATTAATTTAATTTAATTTACTGCTAATGCCTTTTCTTTCCTGTCTGAGTGTTCTCAATGCGTTAGCATGACTGGGGAGGTAGGTGGCAATCTCAAAATCAACTGAAAGAGTGTTTGTAGCCAGGCACAGTGGCACACTCCTGTAATCCCACCTGCTCGGGAGGCAGGAGGATTTCTAGTTCAAAGCCAGCCCCAGCAACTTAGCAAGGCCCTGAGGAACTCAGTGAGACCCTGTCTCTAAATAAAATGTGAAGAAGGGCTGAGGATGTGGTTCAGTAGTTAAGAGCCCCTGAGTTCAATCCCTGATACCAAAAAAAAAACAAAAAAAAAAAAACACGGGTTTCTATACACACCCAGATCCCTCTGGATTCTGCTGATCAAAGGATATATGTGGGAGGGAGTCAGCATTTTGAAAAATCTCCCTGGTTGATTCTGATAAACGCTTTTACACCCACCAGTTGAGAACTACTATTTTAGCCTTTTGCTCAGCCTTATCTGTATCTCTCTGCATTCACAAGATGTTAGTGATTATACAGTCCAGCTTACCTATCTTAAGTGTAGGAATATAGGCTCAGAGAGGGAAGCCCCTTATCCAGAAGTCACAAGGGGAGTTACCTGAACAACCTGAGAGTGGCCCCCAGATCTCCCAAGTGCATATTGGGAAGCTCTCCCTATGGCATGTAAAGCTTAGGTCCTTATCCTTTTTGGTAGAATTTGCCTGGCATATCTTTCCCCACCCTTTACTTTCAACTTTCCAATATTTTCATTTTCTTAGACTATCCTTTGTGGGTAGCATTCAGTTGGATTTTATTTTATTTTATTGGTAATAGGGTCTCACTGTGTTGCCCAGGCTAACCACAAAGGATTTTGGTGGTTTTTTTTTTTTTTTTTTTTTTTTTGTTAATTCAAGTTGACAATCTTTGTCTTTTAACTGGACATTTGGTACATTTACATTTATTGTAATATAAGATATAATTAGAATGGCATTTTCTAACTTTTTGTTGTTGATGTTTGGGGGCTTGGGGGATGGGGTCCATGCTGTGGACTGGACCCTGGGCTATGCTCAGGCTAAGTGTGCACTTGGCCTCAGAGCTAAGTGTAGCTTAGCTTTCAGCCACTTCATCTCCCAGCTTACTTTGTGCTTCCCTTTGTCCCATCTGTTCCTAGTCTGTTTTTCTCATTCATTGCTTTCTTAGGGATTGATTGGGGTTCTCTCATTACTAGTTGAGAGGTTAAAATTTTCCTCTACTTTTTAAATAATTCCGTATGTTCTTTAATAATTAAAAAATGCTTGTTTAGTTGATCGAGGTCTCAGTTTCATACCTGTACCTGTTTCCTGTGGAATACAAAGAATTTAAGACTATTTATTTTTTATTTAGTTATTGATGGACCTTTGTTTTATTTATATGTGGTGGTGAAAATTGAACCCAGTGCCTCCCACATGCTAGGCAAGTGCTCTGCCACTGAGCCACAACCCTGGCCTATTTTAATAAAATACACTCCTTTGACCCTTATGCTATTTTAGTTCTGGTTGTTTTTCTTTTTAAGCCCTATACCATATTGTTTTACTTTGTTTCATTTTGTAACCCTCTGATCTTTCATCTGGGATCACTTTCTGCCTGAGTTACTTCTCTCAGAACTTTCTCTATCAGAGAGTCTGCTGGTGGCATACATTTTTGCTTTTTGAGAATGTCCTGACTCAGCATCATTCATGAAGATAACCTTCTTTGGGTTTGGGATTTTAGGGGGACAGTTATTTTCTCTCGGCACAGGAGAATGCTGTTCAAGCTACCCTTCCATGATTCTTGGCTTCCATTATTTTCTTGAAGTCATCTGTGAAACTCACTGTTGCTTCTTCACAGCTAATCTGTAATTTTTCTCTGGCCATTTTAAAGACCTTAGAACGTGTTTAAGGGTGAATTTATTTTGGATTCTTTGGACCTCTTTAATCTTCAGATTAGCATCTTTCCTCAGTTATGAGACGTTCTCGATGTCGTTATAAACATTGCCCTTGCACTGTTCCGTCTTCCTCTGCGCCTCAGTTAGAACCTGTCAGTCTCTCTCCATGTCTCTGAGCTGCTGTTTTGAATTTATTTACCTATTTGTCTCTGCTGCATTCTGGATAATTCCATCCTCTGGATTTCAGTGCACTGTTCCCTCTTTACCTGGGCTAATCTGTTAAACCTCTCCATAAGGTTTTCAGTTTTAGTGTGGTTTTTATTTCTTGAAATACTGTTTTCTTTTTAATCTGCTTGGGCAAGGTGCAGTGTCGCATGCCTGTAATCCCAGCCACTCGGGAAGCGAGGCAGGAGGATTGCAAGTTTAAGGCCAGACTCAGCAACTTATTGAGACCCTGATTCAGAGTGAAAAATGAACAGGGCTGGGGATTGGCTCAGTGTTAAGCACCCACTGGTTCAGGACTGGTTCAATCACCAGTGCTGGGAAAAACAAACAAATAAACAAAAACCCAGGAAAACTCTGTTGGGTGCCCTTTACGGTCTCCCTTGCCCAGCGTGGACCCTCTTACTTCTTAGACATGTTAGGCGTGCTCATTTCATATCTCACATTTCATGATTCCGTTTTCTGAAGTCCTCAGAGATCTGTTCCTGCCAAATGGCATTTTTGGTGGATTTTGCGCATGACATATATTTTCTTAGTTATTTTCCACGGTGAAGTACTCATTTTCCTTGCAATCTTATTTGTGAAAATTCTTTGAAGTCAATAACAAAGGCAGCTTCCTCCAGAGAGAGCTGGTTATTTGCTCCCACTGAGATCACTGTAAATTCAATTCTCAGCTTCAGGTTTTGTGAGTTCTGGGAAGATCCCTTGAGGAATCCAATCCCCAGTAGTGGATTTTCCTTCCCTCTGATCACAGCAAGGCTTTGTCGGGGCCAGGGTTTTCTTAACAATTCACAGAGAGGACTGCCTCAGTGCTGGTCACCGGGTGTGTGTGTGTGTGTCCAGCTAACCCCCTTCCACCCTGGCTGTTTACCTTCAAAAAGAAGGTCTTCATATTTTGCCCATATTTTTGGTGGTTTTCAGTGAGAGGTCACCCTGGTACTTGGCTGCCTGGTTACCCAGCCTGGGATCCCTGAGGCCTTCTGTCATGCACTTCCATCTCTTCCCCTGAACTAAGAGTATCTGGAAGTTGGAACCAGCTTTACTTTCTGGTTCTTGTGCATTTTCATGTTAAAGCATCTCTGACAATGAGAATATTTTTGCTTCTTTTTCTACTTTCCAGTAATTTCCCATCTTTCCAAAATGAATAAACATTACATGAAAATTAATGAAATGTCTGGGCTGGGGCTCACAGGTAGAGCACCTGCCTGGTATGTGTGAGGCACTGGGTTTGATTCTCAGCACCACATAAAAATAAAATAAAGATCCAACAACAACTAAAAAGAAAAAGAAAACTTTTTTAAAAATTGAATTGATGAAGTGTGAAGTGTTCCTAGGAGATTAGGTCACGTAAGTGCTGCCATCTCTGTCATTGATGGTGACTTGTCACCTCCTCTGGGCCCTCCTGGCCCTTGGAGGCCCTTTCAGGTACATTTCAGGGAAGGTCCTTTATTCTGAGCACCCTTGAAAGAAAATGTTGGAGTCGGAACTCATGCGGGGGCCACAGCTATTCAGTTTTAGTTTGCAGATAACCGGGAGTGGCCAACACCACTCTGCTAATACAGCTTCTTCCCAGAGCAACTTTACTGTGCTCAGAAAGACTGAAGGAAAGAAATAGCCTATGGCTAGACTACTGTGGGATTGCCAAGTGGAGACTTAAAATCCTTTCCTGAAAATCCTTATCCAGAATTTACCCAAAGGAAGTCCTCACATTTTGTATTGTATGGCAAACGGGGCCAGTGGTACACACCTCTTGGCCCAGCTGTTTGGGAGGCCAAGACCAGGAGGATTGCTTGAGACCACCCTGGGTGATGTCACCCCCCTCAAAAATAAATAAATAAAATGAGATCATACTGAAAAAAAAATGTTCACTGAAGCATAATTTATAACAGCACACATTTCAGCTCTTTTGAATTGGCTTCAAGTACTTCAAACATTGAGTTTGTTCAATAAATGATAGTACATGTGTATGATATACTAGGCAATCACTGAAAATGATCATACAGAAGAAAAACGGGGTGAAATTGCAGTATTATGTGAAAAAATAAATTGAGGCTGGGTGCAGTGGCACATACCAGTAATCCTAGTGACTCAGGAGGCTAAGACAGGAGGATTGCAAGTTGGAGACCATCCTCAGCAATTTAGTAATGCCCTAAGCAATCTAGTGAGACCCTGTCTGAACACAGAAAGAATGATAGGGACTAGGGATGTGGCTAAGTGGTAGGGCATCTCTGGGTTCAATTCCCTGAGTGGAAAAAAAAAAAAAAACAATTTGTATACGTGCTTTTCTATATTTTCCAAAATTTTCTGCCATAGACATCTGTTTTTTTCATAGTCAGAGAAAGAGATTCTTTACCCTAGAAGCCCTAGCTGCAGGCTTCCCCCAGTGTGCCCGGTGCTAACCCTCTGCTCTCTTGCCTCTTCCTGGAAGGGCCACCTGAGCGAGGGCTATGGACAGCTCTGCAGCATCTACCTCAAACTGCTGAGAACCAAGATGGAGTTCCACACCAAGGTGAGTCCTGCTGGGCCTTCCTGCCACCTCAGGGAATGTTGTGGGCACAAGGGAGCGTGCATCCTGCCTCCACGCTGTGTGAGGGAAAGGTGGTCGATAGGGCCGCTACCGTCAGGCCCTGGGGTGTGACGGGACAAGGCACTGTGTGTGTCCTCTGCCCTCTTGTTCCCCGTTTTGCACAGGAGGAGGCCCGTCCATCAGCTTGCTTGTGAGATGTTAGGAAGCAGTGGTCCCACATTTCCCCACTGCAGGCTCCCTACAGAACCTTCTTAGGTGCAGAGCTGTGTGCAGAGGGTGCATCGTGGAAGCCAAGTCAGGTGCTCCTGAGGACCACAGGGGCCTGCGGAGGGCACCTGAAATAGGAAGCCACAGTGTGGGAGGGCGGGCCTTGGAGGCAGGCCTGGGGCAGACAGGTGGTGGGAGCAGAGTGGCTGCCAGGTAGGAGAGGAAGCAGCTGGGGAGCTGGAGAGTAAGGGGAACCTCCCCTGGTGCCTATCCCTGTGGTCCCCATGTGCTCGAGGGGCAGTGTCGACCCATGCATACTGTGCCATTCTCTAAAACCTGTCTGTGCGACACCCAGTCCCCACAGCAGCGTGATGGTGGGTGTGACCATGTCCTGGGGAGATGGAGCAGGAATGTGAACCAGGCCCATTGGACACCTCGGCCATGCTGTACCCAGGGGCTGCCATGGGCCAGAACAGGTCAGGCCCTGAAGAGAGAAGGGTGATGTCGTGTCCCACTTGTGCGAGTCTCCCAGTTTGCTAGGGCAGGTGACCGAGGTGGAGAAGGTGCGAGCAGTAAGACTAGAGGGGAGAGCAGCAGGAGGCAGCACCAGCGCATGGGGATGGGGACAGGGGACAGTGGCCGCGGGCAGTAAGCGGGCAGTAAGCTGAGCTCTGTCTGGAGTGTTGGGTTCTCCACTATAGCACACGTCACCCCCTAGCTCTGTGGCTAGGCACAGCAGCAGCGGCTCCTTGGCTCTAGTGTTCTCTGTGGTGAGGAATCCTGGGAGGACCTGGCTGGGTGCTTCTCTGCAGTCAATGCTGGTGAGGGCTGGTGGTGGGCGCTGCAGTGGGGCTGCTGGGGCTGGCCTGACCCCACCCTCCTGCAACAAAACTCCTCCCCCAAGACCCCAGTCTGCCACAGGCTGGGTACTGAGGTGACCCAGAGGAGAGCAGCCGGGTACTCGAGGCAGAGCGAGCCTGGAGACCCAGGGATGCAAGGCCTGAAACAACTTGGTGTCCCTGTGAACCTGCAGCAGACCTGTGTCAGGATGAAACGTGGGCAGGACAGCACAGGACCAGGGACCAGGCAGCTGCGGGAGGCCATCCCAGCCCCTGAGGCCTCGGCACCCTCCTGGGCAGTTCCTTGGACTTCTCCACACCCAGGGGAGACCTGGCTATAAAGGGCCATCTGCTCATTGTAGGGTGTCCTTCCTGGGGCCTTGTGCAAGGTGGACTTTAAAGAAAGACCCCAGCTGTCCACGTGGCTGCCGATGAGGACCAGAATTGGGACGTGGCCCCTAGAACTGACAGAGTGGCGGGGGCTGCCTGAAGATTGGGAGGGGGGCGGTGAGGAAGAGCTGGGTCACATGAAGAGAGGCCAGGCTGCAGGAGGGCAGAGGGGGAAAGTCAACAAGAGCAGGACCGGGCCAGGCGCTGGGGTTGCATGCCTGTAATCTCATCAGTTTGGGAGGCTGAGGCAGGAGGATCGTGAATTCAAAGCCAGCCTCAGCAGTTTATCAAGGCCCTATCAACTCAGCGAGACCCTGTCTCTAAATAAAATACAACAAAGGGCTGGGGATGGGTTCAATCCCTGAAGTGAAAAAAACAGCAGAACCCGGGGTGCTCTGGACTGGGGCTTCGTGGAGTGCAGAGGACAGGTGTCCACCTCCTGGAGTCCCCTGAGCTTCTGTCCCAGAACCGTGCCCAGTGAGACTTACTGAACGAGAGAGTGAACCAAAGCCTAGGTGGGATCTGACCCAATAGAAGGGGCCGGCCTAAGTGAGGAGAGGGTCTCTCCAAGTTGGTCCTAGTACACAGCATGTGAGGAGGGAACAGGGCTCCAGTCCTGATGTCTAGAGGGGGCCAGAGAGGCCAGGAGGAGAGCGAGCATGTCGGGGTGGGATTTCCCTGAGACAGAGCAGGAAGACCAGCTGGACATGAGGGCAGGAGAGGACAGCAGGGCCAGGACCCGGATGTTGCAGCCAGAGGGAGGGTCTGCGAGGGAGGAGTCGGTAGGGGGGCGGTTCTAGGTTATGGCTGGTCCTGACAGGTGGGTGGAGTCACAGGGATTGGAATTGAGGTGGTCAAGGGTCATATGGCAGCGTGCAGGACTCCGCACATGGGACGGCTCTGACCCAGGTGCCAGGGACTAGGGTGAGTACCGGGGTAATCGAAAACCAAGAGCCCTTTAGTGTGGAGTAGAGCCACTTGGGGACCTGGGAGGGCTGAGCACAGAGCCCAGCCCTGTTCAGTGGGGCTGAGGAAGGCACGGTGTCCTCGTGGACGGGGGCGGTTAAAGCGGAGGAGTCCCTGAAGTTCTAGGAGAGCAGCAGGTTGGGAGACAGACATGTGGGTAGCACTGTGGGAAAGGAGAGGCGACCAGCCTGAGAGCCCTGCGTACTGGCCCCCGCCATCGAGGATGGTGGCAGTGCCCCGAGGAGCCCTGGAAGCAAATCCAGGCCTGTCTCAGGGGCCTTGGCACTGCGTAGCCTGGAAGCCGAGGCCACAGTGGGGATTTCCTGGCAGGAGACGGCATATTGTGACTGTGCCACGGAACGCAGGGGGTAGGAGCCAGAGCCAGCACTTGCGATCCAGCCCTGCTGTCCTGTCTGGCCCGGGCCTGCCCTGGCCCTTGGCAGCCCCGTCCTGCAGTGGCTGCAAGCTGGGTCTTTCTGGCAGGAGGGGAAAGATGGAAAGATGGAGAGTGGAGGTGTGGGGCACCCGCAGGCAAGCTGTCAAAAACAGTTGACGTGCTCTTCGGGGTTGGTTGGTTGTCATGCTGGGGATGGCACCCAGGGCTTCGCGCATGCCAGGCAAATGCCCAACACTGAGCCCCTCCCAGCCCCAAGCTCAGGGTTTTAAGGTTAAGTGGGGCTGTGTTCCTGGCACAGTCAGGTGAATGCATGGCTGAAATAGGGTCAGTTGTGAAGAAGTCCCCTGCCTGAGAGCGCCTGGACCCATAGAAACGGCAGCGCTGAGCCTTCCCGGGGGACTCATGCTCTGGACTCTGTTCAGGTCTCTCTGAGACAAGACCCTGCACAAGCTCTGACTCTGCTCCCTGCCTGTACCTACAGCCCCGCCCACCTTGCTCGATCCCTGCCCTGTGTCCCCTGCACCCAGAGCAGCCCAGAGCTGACCTGGAGTGTATTAGTGGGGGCTTCTGCTCCTGGCCTAAGAGAATCCAGCTGAGTCCCGGTTTCCTCGGTTCTAAAACGGAAATCACTGTTTCTGCCTCGCAGGCCGTCGTGAAGACTGAGGAAGTTTATCCAGACCTCGTAGGGTCTGGCAGGTGGCTAGCCCCTTGCACCTCCAGGCCTCTCCCCACCTGTCACTCCCGCCCATTCAGTCACCTGAGGCTAAGGAAACACAGAGCACTGGCCTCGCCCCAGCCTCTCGGGTTCAGTAGGGGATGGGGCTGGGACCACACTAGGAGGACCGTTCCTGAGGTCTCTGAGATGAGAGAAGGCAAAAAGGACGGACTCCCAGCCCCACCTCCTTCATTTCAGGTCCGCATCTTAGCAGCCTGAAGTCTTGGCTCTGGAACTTAGAAGCTCCTTGGTGGGGTGGCCCCCCATCTCTCTGGCCTGTTCCCCTTGCTCTCCAGGTCCATCCACTCTAGACAGACCCCATGGTAGGAGAAGGATTTCTCTCAACTTTGGGGCTGCCTCTCATAATATCTTCCTGCCGTCAAGTTTATTTTACTACTGAGGGTTTTCAAAGGCGGGGAAGAGGATGCTGTACATCCCTGAACGGAGAGCAGCAACTCCAGGAAATGGCAAGGACAGCAGGAAGCCTGGCTTGGGGTCAGAAAGGACAGGGATGAATAAATACTCCTTCCCCGCAGATGGATGATTGACAGCAAGCGCTGTCACATTCAGGATTTCATGGGAGAGTGTGCATGGAATGTTCCAGAGCACAGATTGCAGGGAGGAGCCCTCCCCTCACTCAGGAGGGTGCAGTGGGTGCTCAGTGTCTCCGAGCCTGTCAAGGTGTCTGTGTATGGGGTCACATCCCAGAGGGACTCCTTGATGCTGGCTCTGTTGGCCGTGGGGAGATGTCACCGCCCTCTGACTTGGTTCCCACCTCCCTCCCAGAACCCCAGGTTCCCGTGCAACCTTCAGATGAGCGACCGACAGCTGGACGAGGCTGGAGAAAGTGACGTCAACAACTTGTAAGGGGCAGTCCCCATGCCCTGGGCCCAGGAGGCGACCATATTTGTCTTTTGTTACTTTCCGTTAGGGTCACAGAGGGCCTGATGGTAGGGGCAGAGGCTGGGGTGAGGTAAAGCCCCTGGGTGATGTCCTGATGGCCCCTTCCTCCCTCGTGCATCCAGAGCCACCAGCTGGCACCCCTCGCGGCCCCCTCTGCCTCACCCTCACATCCCAGCCCGGCGCGGCTCCCATCCTTCCCCTTCCCCACGTCACTGTGGACTCTCTGTCCTTCCTCGTCTTCAAATGACCTGAATGCCCATTTGGGCGAGAGCTGAGGTTGCAGCTGGGCGTGTGCGTGTGCGTGTGCGTGTGCATGTGCACTGGTGTGTGCCTTGGGGTGGGGGCAGGAGCTGGGGGCGGGCAGGTCAAAGACTGGCCTTAGGGGCTGGGGTGTAGCTCAGCGGTGAAGCCTGTGCCCAGCACGCCCCAGGTCCTGGGCTCCTCCACACCCACAAAGATTGGAACCTAAGTTCTCTTTCTTCTTGGGTCAGTTTCCAGCTAACAGTAGAGATGTTTGACTACTTGGAGTGTGAACTGAACCTCTTCCAGACTGGTGAGTCTCTGCCCTTCAATCTGACCAGGCTCTCCGAGTGACCTGATTCCCAGCTTGGTTGCCCTCCTGGACCTGGGGCCAGCCCTTGTCTCCCTGTCTCATGTCACGTGTCTCTGTGCTCTTAATTCAGGGAGGGGCTGAAGTTCTTCTGTGTATGTGAAGCCAGAGATGTCACATCAGAGCAGAAAAAAACATGCTGCTGGCCTCCCTCCTAAAGCCCAGGCCACCAAGACCCCAAAGACAGGTCTTACTCTCTGACAGCCAGTGGACTGTGGCCACAGCCCCGCTGTCCTTTGGCCCTATCCATCTGCCATCAAAGCTGGGCTGTGACCCAGGTGATTCCTTCCCAGGAGGAGGCCTTGTGTCTGCTGTTTAATTGGCAGCCATTGGGAAAACTGGGTCAAGCTAGGTTGTCACCCAGGACATCCTGCTCTGCTACTGGGGGCAGCTGACCACCTTGCCCAGAGTTCTGGGACCCCCAGACCCTCAGCTGCTAGCACCTCCCTCCTCTGGGTGTCTCTGTCCCCCTCACCTCCCAGCCAGGCTCCTTTCCCTGGGAGACAGAGGATGATGTGCTAAAATTTGAGCTAGTTCTCAGCAGGTGACTGACAGAGGACAGGCATTCTCGCTTGGGCTTGGTAGCCTTCTCAGCCAGTGGGCATGTAGGGCTTTGACTCACCTGAAGTCTGCTCCCTTCAGTGAGCTCATCTGTGCAGCATATGTGTCCCAGTGTCCTGTTGTGTCCCAGTGCTGGTCTAAGCCTGTGACGGGTCTGAGAGTCTGTGATGCTTTGACCAGTCAGCTCAGCACAGGATGTGGGCCGAGAAGCACCAGAGACGCTGGGGAGCTGGCTTTGGGGAAATGAAGGAACCAACCTCCTGGCAACGTATTTGAGCAGGGCCTTCTGTGAAGTGGGCAGAGGCCTAAAAACAAAACACCTACTAGGGAGTGTCATCCCCGCCCTAAGCCACTCCCAGTCAGGGAGGGAAGTGCTGTAGATGGACTCAGTAGTTTTTTTTTTTAATATTCATTTTTTAGTTGTAGTTGGACACAATACCTTTTTATCTATCTATCTATCTATCTATCTATCTATCTATTTATTTATTTATTTATTATGTAGTGATGAGGATCGAATCCAGGGCCTCATACATGCTAGGCAAGCCCTCTACCTCTGAGCCACAAACCCAGCCCTCAGTAGTAATTTTTATATGCTCCATAACTATTTGCGTAAAGGTACATGAACAAGTATTAATTGCTGTGGCTAATGATTATTTAGCTTCAGGAGGGAAGGACCCATACAGGTGATTCAAAACCCAGAAGTGTTTAACCACTGAGCCACACCCCCAGCCCTCTTTAGTCTTTACTGTGAGAAATGGCCTCACTAAGTTGCTTCTGAGGCTGTCCTTGAACTTGTTTGTGATCCTCCTTCCTCAGCCTCCCAAGTGACCGGGATTACAGGCCACTGCACCAGGCTTTGAACATGCAAGATTTGAGTGTGGCTTTGTTAGTCACCTTTTCTCCACTGTCACAAAATACCTGAAATTAACAGCTGTTCAATAAATTGCATGAGATATGCAGCACTTTCATATCAAATGGGCTCTGTATTAGATGATTTTGCCCAGCTGAGGCTCACGTGAGTGTCCCAAGCACTCCCGGCTACCTGGCTGAGCTGCGATGTTGATGGGTTGGGTGCAGCCACAGTGCCAACTTACTGTATTTTCAGCTGATCAGGAGGTAACCCCACCCTAAGCTGAGAAGCATCTGTATTTAAACTGGATACAGTTAAATAACATTTCAAAGTCAAGTCCTCAGTTTCACGAGCCATATTTCAGGCATGTTTGGAGTGGCCATATGTGGCTGGCATATTGGACAGGGCAGCCAGAGCGTTTCTGTCATTGTGGAATTCTGTCTGCCCCAGGGGTTCTGACACACCAGGCCAGCAGTCAGTTTTCAACCTTGGTCGCCTGTTAGATTCACCCAGGGGGCTTTTGAAAACTACCATTGCCCTGACCCTAGCCCAGACCAGCTGACACAGAATAGGGGCATGGGGACTTGCAGGCAGCGTCAAAGCCAAGAGCCGCTGCACATTACAAGACTCTGTGAGGCGTGCGCTTGGCATCATTGGGCTTCACGGCGAAGCCTCTGGAGGCCCAAAGAGATTGAGCACTCGTTCTCATCCACACTTGCACTGCTGTGGTGGTGCTGGGCACCAAGGGCCATCTCAGGAGGCCTCAAGAAGGCAGCGGGCAGCCCCGGAGAGGGACCTGCTGTGGGTACTTGCCAGAGTGGAGCCTGAGGATGGTTTCCTTGCAGCGGCAGCTGCTTGTAATTTGTGTCAAGAAGAAAAGCTGCCTGCTAATTAGAACAGTTGGGGATTTTTTTTTTTTCCATTTGCCAAACTAACCCTGTTACCAGGGATTCGTGCAGTCGGAGGAGGAAGAGCACGCAGGGCTCTGGGCAGGGCCACGCTCCGTGGAGCTGCAGGGAAAGTCACGTCCGTTTCTGCCACGGCTAGCACCTGCAGGGACATGGGCAGCCTGGGCAGGAAGGAAGACCGCCAGGCCAGGGGGCGAGCTGAGGACCTGGATCAGGAACTTGGGCATAAATATGGAGGGATCTCTGGAACAAAAAGTGTGGGAGCAGCTTCCTCTCCAGAACTCGGGGGAGTCGAGGGCAGCACGTCTGCTGATGGCCCCCCATGACCCCGATGAGCCTTTGACCCCGTGGTCCATCCTGCCCCCAGACCCTTGCTTGGTGCATCTGTGTCCTCCAGGGTCTCCCTTTGAAATGGTCCAAGAACCCCTGAGGCGAGCCACTGGGAAGCCACAGCCGAAAGATTCCCTCCTTCACTTTTTGATTCCCGCTGGGCGCATTCTGCCCTTGCTGGCTACCGCCAGCCACCAGGCCTGCGGCACTTCTGATGGCCAGAGGTGTCGGGCCAAGTTCACATGCAAGCGGCTCGGCCTGATTGGTCAGCTCCTTTCGGGTTCTGAGGCCCCATGGACCCAAGAGCTCCCCGGCATAGTGACCCGTCTCCCCATTCGGCCTGACATGAGCTGAAATACTAGCTGTGCCTTTCTGATCTGACTTGGGGCAGAACTAGGAGGCTCCTCAGAGACGGGAAGAAGGGATTCCTGGGCGTCCCAGGAGCTCTCCAGGGTTGAGCAGATCTCGTCTTTCAGGGGTGTCACGGGGCTCTGCACAAAGCGGAGCCTGTTCATTGCACACCAGGCATCTTGGCCACCAGGGGCAGAGGCGCCTGGCCCAGCCGCAGGTGGCCACGTGGGCTCTCTGGTGCATGTTTAACTCTCAGCATGACACCTTGGCTTTCCAGCAATGGAGGTTCCCCTGAACGACAGGGACACCCTCTCTGTGCTGCAAGGGCTAAGTGAGTCAGCTGGAGTGATGCCCACACAGTCAGCCCTTGCTGCCTGCTGGGCCCTCCTCTGCCTCTCTGCCACCTGCCATTGCCTCACCCTGTTGCTTTCTCCCCCTTTTATTTCCAGTGTTCAACTCCCTGGACATGTCCCGCTCGGTGTCAGTGACCACTGCAGGGCAGTGCCGCCTCGCCCCGCTGATCCAGGTCATCCTGGACTGCAGCCACCTCTATGACTACACCGTCAAGCTCCTCTTCAAACTCCACTCCTGTGAGTACACCCGCAGGATCTTTCTCCATGAGCCTTGGGCGGGGAGGAGCCTCACCGCACGTCCCTTAGGGAGGTCCCTGGAGACCGCAGCCCGGCCGCATGCCCTTGGCTCCGCTTCTGTTTCAAAAGTGCCTGGAGCTCCTGGCCATCAAGAGAATGGAAGGGGCTGGGGATGTAGCTCAGTGGTAGGGTGCTTGCCCAGCACAGGAGAGTGCCGGGGTCCCATCCTCAGTACCACCAGAAAGAAAAAAAAAGAGAATGGAAGATGGAAGAACAGGGGTCTAAATTTTGGTGGGCCAAGTACAGCTCCTAACAAGCCATTGCTGTGTCCCAGGATGGTTCATCTCCATCTGTGCTGTGTCTCTATTCCTCAAGGACATCAGGTATTCTAGAACCCACACAAGGACCATATCTCTGCCCCGTATGAGCCAAGGCAGCGATGTCCAAACCATTAATGACATCATCCTTTGTACAGATGGAATTTTATGGAGAAATATGTAGAACAGAGCTGCTCACCTAAATGGAGGGCTGTCCCTTGCCTGCTGCAGATCCCTGGCATGCCCTTGGCAGAGCATAGTTTGGAAGCTACTGTTCTTGTGACCTCCGTGCTTCTGTGTGCTGGTGGTTGGTTTGCGGTGACGGGCATGGAACCCAGGGCCTCTCACATGCCGAGCTCTTGCTCCACCACCAAGCTGCACCCGGCCCTGTGTGTTTCTTGTTTGAAACTGTGTGTCTGTGCCAGGCTCAGTCTGCTTTAGGGGGTCTCCAACAGGGTTCAGTTCTGCACCGTTAAATGCAGGTCCCTATGTAACCCTGTGGCACTCGCGCCCCACTGCAGGGTGGCCACCATGAAGGATTGTATAAACAAAGTCTGTGCATGATGGAAAACCAAGAAAAGTCTCCACATGCACGGACACCAGCAAAGTGTCACGGGCCTGGGGTTTTATGTCACAGAAGGCCACATTTTAGAAGTATGGGACAAGGATGCTCCCTAACTGTGGTCATCAACAAGCACAGAGTCCAATTGTTAGGAAAAGGTCAGAGAATAGTAGCACGCGGAGGAACTCAGGGTGGTTTCCTGGGAGGGAGATTGAATTTGCACTTCTGGGATCAGAAAGGCTGTGGACCAAACCTGAAGGGAGCTCAGGGTCAATTAGATCCCAAGAGGTGAAGGGAGATGTTGCTTGGCAGCGCCGAGTGCCCGTGAGCTTGTAATCGTCTCTACGATGCTGTAAAACACATCGCACAACACAGCCTCACAAGGTTCTTATAGAGCGGTGAGATAGGAGAACAGGCAAGTAATTATTGGGGTTCAAAGATCTTCTCTAAAGGCAGGGCAATGTGTGAGACCCACTTGGACGTGCAGGGGAACTGGGTGGCTGAGGAGAGAAGTAGGGACATGGGAAGACACAGGTCTTATACAGGTCTGTGTATAAGACACAGGTCTTATTCTTATACAGAATGCTCCATCCAGAAGTGTTTCAGGTTTCGGAATTTCTCGGATTTTGGAACATTGGCATGGACTACCAGCATCCTTGATCTGAGACCCGGCAGTCCTCAGAGGGCTTTGGATTTCAGGTCACTTCATTTTGGAAGTGTTTTGCATTTCTGATTTTCAACTTGCAGACACTTGACTTCTCTATACTTTAAGACATGTTTACTTAGAACTCTAGAAAAGTCATCAAGACAGTATAGAGGATTCCCGTTGACCTCATACCCAGCTTCCCCTGCTATCCCCATGTTAGCAGGATGCGCCTGTCACAACTCATGAACCACTATCAATACCTTATTAATGAGGTCATGCTTTCTCAGATTTCCAGTTGGTACCCAGGGTCCCTCTCCTGGTCCAAACTCCCATCTAGGACACTACATAACACGGAGCCATCTAGTGTCTCGGGGCTTTTCTCAGCTGTGATAATTTCTCAGTCTCTCTGTCTTTGAGGACCTTGACAGTGTTTGAGTGCTAGTGAGATTTTTTGGAGAATGACCCTCAATTCCTTTTTATTTTTTATTTTATTTTTATTTTTATTTTACCATGATGTGACTGGGGTCTTGGGACCAAGTGCTCTTGGGAAGAAGCCCATGGAGGCAGACTGGCTTTTCTATGCACTGTCTGCTTTGGTCCTCTCGATGGATCATGCCTGATATGTGCTCACACCTAGTGAATGTCCCACACATTCAAAAATGACTAAAATTGATATTTTTAAAATAGACTGAAAACCAAGTTGTGGTCTGTAGCTGAATCACACAGACTCCCACAGTCTTGAAGGTGAAGGTAGCTTCGTGATGGGGAAGCTGTCCCTGAAAGGTGGCTGCTTGTACAGAATCACAGAGTTACACTGGTGGATCAAGTGTGTGCCATATCTGCCCTGGTCCACCCCGGGGCTTGGCCAGGTCAATGCTGCTTCTGTGGTCAGCCTCCTCACAATGGGCCTAGAATGGCTCATCCTTCCAGGACAAATTGGAAGTGGGAAGCTTTGGAGGATAAGGGTCCCCACACTCCTGTGGGACTCCCTTGGTCACAGACCAGAAGTGGCCCCAGGATGGCCACCCCTCCATCCGGAGCCCATGTGGCCTGCCTGCCCCCTTACAGTCCTTCCACTCTCCTCCAGGTCTCCCAGCTGACACTCTGCAGGGCCACCGAGACCGCTTCATGGAGCAGTTCACAAAGTAAGTGGCTCTAATAACAGGAGTGGAGGCAAATCAAAGTCCGCGATAAGATGGATCCAGGCCAAGCACGTGCACACTGTGAAATACGTGAGGGGCAGTGGGGCCTGCGTTCTAGGGAGATAAAATGACAGAAAATAGCTAGGACCGCAGCACACCTACCAGACCCTGGTAAATCCCCTGGAAGAGGGAGATTCACCTGCCCCATGCCAGGACTCCATCTCTCTGTCCTGTCCTTAGGTCACTTGGTCTGACCCCCTTTACTCAGACAGCTCCTAAATACATGTGTCTTAGATCTAAATTCCAATCTCACATACTCAATGTGACACCTAGATACCAGATTTAAATCTTTAACTGAACTCAAGGTTTTCTCAAAAAACAAAAACAAAAACCTTCTTCCCAGGCTTTTCTGTCTCAGTCAACGCTGCTACTGTCCATTTAGCCCCCAAGACCTGGAACTCACGTGTCCTCACGTTGCCCCACTCCAGTCCACCGTTGGCTTCTGCTGACACTCTACAGATAACTTCTAGCTCCATCCACAAGTGCATCCTTCAGGCACCAGGGCCTCCCGCCAGGACCCTCTGGCCTGACCAGACTCCCTCGACTCCACCCCCCTCTGTAACCCAGGCCTCGCCAGCAGATGGAACAGTATGTCCAACATCCCTCTTGCTCAAGAGCTCCCCATGGCTCTGCCTACATTAGAGTATAGCCTGAGTCCTTCTTTGTGGTCTGCAAGGCCGTGTGAGACCCAGCCCTGCCTGCCATCTTGGACCTCCACCCTGTTCCTCACGTGCTCCGGCCCCTCTGGGTCTACAGTCCTAGGGACACGCCCAGCTCCTAAGCCCATGAGGGCCTCTGTGCTTGCTTCCTCTCCTTGCAGAGCTCCTGGTCATCTTTTGTCACCTCCTCAGGAAGGCCATCCCCAGTCCCCTCGTTCACTCCCGACTTTCCTCCCTATACCCTGTTTTTCCAGCCTCACCCCACCCCAAGTTCTCACCCTTTTGTTTCCCTCGAGTTCTTGGTGTGGCTTCCCTCCTTTTGGACCCTTTGCCCCAGTGCTCTGTCCCCAGTGCCTGACCAGCGCTTGACCGGGAAACAGTGTCTGAGTCAGCTTTGTCACTGCTGCGACCAAAAGACCTGAGGAGAACAAATAGAGGAAGAGGAGTCTATTTGGAGGCTCACGGTTTCAGAGGCCTCTGTCCACAGATGGCCAACGGCATTCTTTGGGGCTTGAGGTGAGGTAGATGGTCGTGGCGGATGAGTGGTGAAGGAGAGCAGCTAGGGACGTGGCACTAGGAGGCAGAGAGAGAGAGAGAGAGAGAGAGAGAGAGAGAGAGCGCTCCCCTCACCACAGACAAAATATAAACCCAAAGGCCGGCCCCCCATGACCCATCTCCTCCAGCCACAGCCTACCTGCCTACAGCCACCACTCCCCACCAGGGGACCAGCGCACTCTGAGGTCACAAGTCTCACGATCTAATCATTTCACCTCGGAACCTTCTTGCATTGTCTCACACATGAGCTTTTGGGGGACACCTTACATCTAATCCATAACAAGCACAGAGTATCGAGAAATCCTGGGGTGAATTTGCAAGATAAGAAGCCAGATGCCTGAGCTGCCTGGTCTAGGGAAGGAGGAGCGTGTCTGGCTGAGGAGTAAATTACCCTGGTGCATTTGGGGGAGAAAATTGGTGACTAATGTAGTGGTACAGCTCATCCCTAATGTAATTATCCCAAGAAAAGGGGAAGAGGGGTCCAGAGGCAAGAGGACCCTGGAGTTGAGAAGGGTCCCCTGGCCTGGCACGGTCAATGCCAGTTCTCGCATTTTCTGGTTCACCTCTTCATCGGTGACCATGACTCCTGCATCCTGACGCTGTGCTTCTCTTCCTGGCTCCCCAGGAGCAATTGAAGGCCAAGTGCAGGGCTGCAGTCACCTCTCGGCTCCCCTGTTCCACTGGGGAACACTGAGTACACATTCTGTAATGAACGACTTATGAAATCCTAGGAGACAGGCACCAGGGCCGAGTTCCTGGAATGTTAGATTCCGGTAGCTTGCAAAAGCAGTAGTCAGTATTACTGTTGGCTCCGGCCCAGGAAGACGGGGACATGGGTCAGGCCTCACTTCCTTCCGCTTTTTTCTAACTTATGACAACATCTCCCGTGCATAGACACCACGCCTCCTCTTCCACACACAGGCAGCAGCAATGTCACAGGAACACACCTAAGTCTTGGGGTCTGGAAGGCTGTCACGAGACTCCCAGGGCTTTCATCCATGAGGCTGAGCCAGGGAAAGAGTATTGCTGCTAGGTAGAGATGCTAGGATCTGAAATACCCTTTCCTCTCAGTATATATCATTCTCAGCTGTCAGGTTTCTCAGTCTTCAGTATTTAGATTCAAAATAGAGATTTGAGAATAAGGAAGAAGTCTTGGCTTCCAGTGCCGGGGCCGGAGCTCAGTGGTTGTGCATGAGCTTGGCAGTTGCGAGGTCCCCAGTTCCACTCCAGCACTGCAAAAAATCATAAGTTGGTTTCTTCATGTTCGTGTTCTTCCAAGATTAGGGCTCTGTACGGGCAGATCATTCTTTCTTCGCAACTTACATCCCTCTGTGCCTGGGACTTTGGTAAATGCAGCTCAGTAGGGATCAGCCCCTGCCCTCTAGAAGCTTCTGCTGTAATAGGGAGACAATGTATAGCTCAAAAACAGGGTGCAGCTTCGTAGTAGCTTTCACTTCCCAGTAGCTTGTTGGTTTACCCTTCGAGAAAATCAGTTTATTTGTTTCTGGTACCAGAGATTGAACTCAGGGGCACTCGACCACTGAGCCACACCAGCCCTATTTTGTATTTTATTTAGAGACAGAGTCTCACTGAGTTGCTTAGCACCTCACTTTTGCTGATGTTGGCTTTGAACTCACGATGCTCCTGCCTCAGCCTCCTGAGCTGCTGGGATTATAGGCCAATTTCTTTGGATGTTACCCTTAGCCAGATATAAATCACTCTTTCCTCGCCACCAGATAACTGAGGACCGGCTGTAAATGACCCTTGTCCATAGCATCATAATTGACTCCTAGCACCACAGAGACCATCTCCTTGACAGCCTGTGCCCTTGGGCTGGGTAGGGGTAGGGAAGCTGGGGGCCGCTGCCCTGTCCCCTCCCCGGGGCTGGCAGGGACACCCAGTACCCCCTAAGGCCCTTTCCACCTCCAGGTTGAAAGATCTCTTCCACCGCTCCAGCAACCTCCAGTACTTCAAGCGGCTCATTCAGATCCCCCAGCTGCCAGAGGTGAGCACACCTGTCCATACCCTGGCACTGTGGGGTCCCCCGGTCCTGCCTGCAGCCGGCAGGGCCTGTCAGGTGAATGCAGGCTGAAAGTGTCTCTCCCTCTTCAGAACCCACCCAACTTCCTGCGAGCCTCAGCCCTGTCGGAACACATCAGCCCCGTGGTGGTCATCCCTGCAGAGGGCTCATCCCCTGACAGTGAACCCATCCTAGAAAAGGATGACCTCATGGACATGGATGCCTCCCAGCAGGTGAGGACCCTTGGGAGATAAGCTTGGCCCTTCCTGTTGCCCCCAAGTGTGGGGATGTGGGTGGGAGAGAACACTGGCTCTCACCACCCCGTTTATTTTTGAGATAGGTTGGAGGCCAACTCCTGGGCTCAAGAGATCCTCCTGCCTGGGCCTCCTGAGTAGCTGGGACTACAGGCAGAGGCTGATGTTCCCACCTTTGTTCAGCCTTCTCAGAATACAAGCAGGAGGCTAGCCTGCTCCATGGTTCCTGGGGAGGTCCCACAAAGGGAGCATTCCTGCACGTGACCATTGACCCACACGTGGGAGTCTCCTGGTCTCTGATTTCCCTCTCCCTTTTGGTCACCGCAGAATTTATTTGACAACAAGTTTGATGACATCTTTGGCAGCTCCTTCAGCAGCGATCCCTTCAATTTCAACAGCCAGAATGGCATGAGCAAGGATGAGAAGTGAGTCCCAGCCGCGTTCGGCTCATCGTGCGGGGACTAAGTTGAGCCATGCTGTATCCGCAGCACCCAACCCGAGGGATTCTTCACCCTTAAGCCTCTTAGAGAAAGAATGTCTTGACCCTTGAGGATCAGCCCCTTAATCCCAGAAGATCACTGACTGCACCTGTGGGCTTTACATTGGGCTAAGGTGACTCCTAGCATAATGCAGATACCAAGGTCCGCAGATGCGCAAGTCCCTTGTATAAATCGGGTGGTCATTGCGTAGGACCTACACATTTCCCCTGTGTGCTATAGATCCTCTCTGGATGACTTAAAATACCTGATACAATGTACGTGCTGGGGACATCACTGCCATACCATATTGTTTAGGGAAGAGTGAGAAGAGGAAGAAATCTGTACCTCTTCAGCACAGGTGGTTTTTTTTTCCCCTCAAATGTTTCCAATCTGCAGTTGGTTGAATTCTTGGGATGAGCCCGAAGGTGCAGAAGGTCGACTGTGTGAGGGGCAGTGTTGAGGAAATGTTCCCGGATTAGCCCCAGCTTTTAACCCCTCCCCTCACACCAATCTCCAAGCTGGTGTTTTGGCAAGAGGGACAGAAGCACTGTCCTCCTTCTCTCCCCAGGGACCACCTGATCGAGGCCCTGTACAGGGAGATCAGCGGGCTGAAAGCACAGATGGAAAACGTGAAGGTAGAGGTAGGTACTGGGGCCTGATCACATGATGCATTGCAGTGTAAAGCTGTGTCCCCCGATACCAGTTGGACCACAGCCTAAGGCAGGTTAATTTGTAGAAATGCCAAAGCCAAAAGCACCTGGATGGCCCCATCTCCATGGCACGTGCCCTGAGGATAGCAGTTAAGCCAGGCACCAGGGTCCCCGTGAAACCCAGGGGTAGCCATGGTAACCACCTGGCTCCAGTTCCTCTCACATGGCCCAGGAAGAGCTTGGTTTGGGACTCTCTCGGTGCCTGTGTGTGGACCTGGTTTACAGCATTCCTGCCCCGAAGCTGGTCGAAAACTGATTCAAGGGGACAGGCCCTGCATCTCCCTCCTCCTTCCAGGTCCTATGAGTGGAGCTGGTAATGGCAGGGGAATTCTGTCCTAGTTAGAGTGGCGGGGGTCAGCCCTGTTGGGCTCATGGTGACCAGAAGGCTCAATTCTCTTGAGACCTTGGGAGCCAGGTGCTCAAGGAAACCGAGGCCTCTGGGGTCCTCCCTCAGTATCCATGGCACACTGGTTCCCAAGCACCAGAGAGCAGATACTAAGGCCTGTAGATGCTCAAATCCCTTATATGAAGTGGTGTTGCTTTACATAAAACACGTGCATCCTCACCTATCCTTTAAGTCATTTCTTATTACTTATAATACATAATGCCGCATACTTGTTTTTTTAAGTAATTTTAGTTGTCGATGGACACAATACCTTCATTTTATTTATTGTTTTATGTGGTGCTGAGGATCGAACCCAGTGCCTCACCTGTGCCAGGCAGGCGCTCCCACCGCGGAGCCCCAGCCCAGCCCCAGCATACGTGCTTCACAGAGTTATTAGGCTGCCTCGTTAGAGAATAATGACGAGAGAGGCCAGCTCGCATCAGTGCAGACGCTCGGCTGTTGGACACCATCCTCCCTCTGTGGTTGGTGGGAGCTGTGGGTGAGGAACCCACCATGCGGAGGCCCACCTGGTTTTCTCTGAGCTGGAAACTGGGCATGTCCTGCTCTGCACGCCCGGCCGGTTGGAAGTGTGGTGACCAGATGGCCCACCGGGTCCCTCCCGCAGAGCCAACGGGCCATGCTGCAGCTGAAGGGCCGCATCAGCGAGCTGGAGGCCGAGCTGGCCGAGCAGCAGCACTTGGGGCGACAGGCGGCTGACAACTGCGAGTTCCTGCGGACAGAGCTGGACGAGCTCAGGAAGCAGCGGGAGGACACCGAGAAGGCCCAGCGGAGCCTGACGGAGATCGAGAGTGAGCGACCATCCCGGCTGGGCCCCGGGTCGGGGTGGGGCGCACGGGGTCGAGGCCCACTGGGAACCAGGGTCCAGCAGAGGGCAGGTTCGGGGGCAGCAGGTGCCCCACAGGAGGCACCTCTGGGCCCACAGGATGGGGAATGCAGAAGAGGGGAGACAGGACAGGACCCCTGGTGATGTGGATCCCAGGGACAGAAATACTGAGGAGGCGTGAATTTCTTTTTTTTTTAAAGACAGCTTTCCAAAGAAGTTGATATAAGTAGGATTTTTTAAGGGAGAAGAAGGTCTATGCTCCTGGGGAAAAGGAGCCTCCTTGGGGCCCCCAGGTTACTTGGAACAAGGGCAGAGGGCCCCAGCAGGGCAGTTGCCTCACCTCAGCCTTGACCCTGCAGGGAAGGCCCAGGCCAATGAGCAGCGGTATAGCAAGTTGAAGGAGAAGTACAGCGAGCTGGTTCAGAACCATGCCGACCTGCTGCGGAAGGTAGGACTCTCACCCCTCCAGCCGCAGCCCACCCCATGGGGAGCCAGCAGCATAGGCCTCAGGCTCCTTCAGGCCCCGAGCTGCCTCCTCTGGGGAACCCCAGCCTTTCAAGGCCCCTCGCCTCTGTACCTTGAGCTCCATCTTGGGTGCCAGCCCCACATAGAATTACCCATTTCTGTTATTTTTGTAAACATTGGAGAGACAGAACCTGAAGGTGGTGGCTTGATTCTGACCCCCCTCTGCCTGGGAAGGTGACACCCAGACCCAGCTCTCACGGTCCGAACGGGATTGTTGGTTCTGGATGCAAGATGTCCCATAGGCTCAGGAGACGCCAGTTCAGGACTCTGTTCTTCCCTTACAGAATGCAGAGGTGACCAAACAGGTGTCTGTGGCCAGACAAGCCCAGGTGGATTTGGAACGAGAGAAAAAAGAGCTAGAAGATTCCATGGAGCGTGTGAGCAGCCAGGCCAAACAGAAGGTGTGTGGAGGAGAGACGCCCGGGGGTGGGGTCACGGGGGCGGTTGGAGGGGAGGCCTCAGGCCCACCACAGATCAAAGCCATCTGTCATCCGCTCCATGGAGCCTCTGGGAGGGCCTTTGGAGACCTCACAGGACATCGGGGCACAGTCACCAGTGCACATGTGGTTTAGGAGCAGGAGGTAATGAAGGGACCCGAGTCGAATGGGGTTTCCCAGTAGAAGTTTCCCAAGGAGAGTTCCAGGGAGGGAAAGCAGGGGAGGAATGCACTCACAGATTTGCCAGCAAGAGAACTCCATCGTGCTGGGGCTTGGGGTGGAGTAAGGTCACATGAGCAAAACTGGACACGGAGCCTTAGAGGACCCTGTGCACGAGTCTGTAATCCAAATCAAAAGAACACATCACCTAGAGGAAGAAGTGTCACCAAGCGATGCTCCCCTCACTATTTGATGACTTTGGGTATTTTCTCTTCTTTTTAAATCATTTTTTGAACATGTTAGTCATGAATTCCTACTAAAGTGCCAACTCTTTAAAAAACACCACTTAGAAAGAATTCCAGGGAAGGGGCGATTTGCGATGGCGAGATGCGCAGCCAGCTGTAGCAAGTGTTGGGATGTATCAATTTAAGGTCTGATTTTACTTTGATTAGTGTTGTGGATTCAAGTATGGCATTTGGAAATTATCCTCGGGAGGCCTCCCTTGAGGACTTAGCCAGAAGGGGTACAGTCTCAGGTGTCACCTCCCCTGCACTTTTTATCTTACATACAGTAGAGTAGCAGTCTGGCCTTGACAGCTCAGGGGACTTTCCTTACTGTGTTCCCTCCAGCGGTCACCCAGCCCAGAGACCTCCGGTTTGGCTTCTCTTTCAGACTCAAGAGCAGCAGGGCATTCTAGAGAGTTTGAAGCAAGAACTTACCACCAGCAGACAGGAGCTGCAGCTCCTCCACAGCAGCCTGGACACCTCTGCCGAGGTGAGCCCCCAGCGTCCTGCCCATGGCCACGCTGGCCTATCTGTGATTGGCGTGTATTCAGGGGGCAGTGAGCGTGAGGTGGAAGAGACCTCAATTCCTGCTCCTTGGGGCCAGGAGGTGGGTCTGGACCTGGGGAAAGGGCACGGTTTAATTTTCCCATGGTCTCCATTGCAGTCAGAAGCAAAATGGACAATGAAGGTCGCTGAACTGGAGGAGGAGCGGGTCAGCTTGGCCAACACAGTGGCTCTTCGGGAAGAGGAATTAGTAACCCTTCGAGAACAGCTGGAAGGCACACAGCTCAAACTGGCCAGTACACAGGCACGTCGTGAACACCCACCAGGGCTAAGCAACCACCAACTCACACCATGGGCCTCTGAGGAAGGGTCCAGAGGCTTTTGGTAGGCGCGGTGCCTGGTGCCAGCCAAAGAGCAAGCCCACAGTGCCCTCTGTCCTACGAGAAAGGACGCACTGGGCCTTCTCCCCCAGGAGTGGAGAGTGGGTCTCAGGGACCGCCCAGCAGTCTCCTGTGGCCATGGTTCAAGTGGTCTCTGTGTTGAGCCAACTGGCCTGGACCCCACTAGTGACCACCTGAACTGAGAGGCCAGGATCCCAGCAAGGTCCCAGGCAGATGATACTCGGGGCTCTCGTGGGGTCCATGGCTGACTCTCGCATCCCTGGGCCACTTGTAGGAATCTATGGGCCAGCTTGCTAAGGACCAGCAGAAGAGGCTCCTGGTGGGGTCTAGGAAGGCTGCGGATCTGGTGATCCAGGAGGCCCTGAGCCAGATGGAGGAGCCCGCGCTCATCAGCTGCGCTGGATCCGCAGGTACTCTTACCCCTACCCTGCCCACGGTGCCTGGTGCTACCTGTTGGCACCGAATCCCACGAGAAACGTAGCTCAGGGGTTCTCAGCCTAGCTGCACGTCAGAGTCTCTGGGGGATGCCCAGGCCCCATTCAGGTCAGTTAGGTCGGAAGCTCTGGGCATAGGGCATGGGCAGCAGTCAGTGTGTCACTCTGAGCAGATTGCTGAGACAATCAGGGTCGGGATTTGGGGGAAGGTGGAGGTCCAGGGATTGACCCAGGAGCACTCAACCACTGACCCACGTGCCCAACCCTTTTTTATATTCTATTTAGAGATGGTCTCACTAAATTACTGAGGCCAGCTTTGAACTTGTAATCCCTGTCTCAGCCTCCCACCGCTGTGTGTGTGCCACCGTACCCAGCTCCAGGGTTTTTGCTTTAAGGCATAAAAGGAGACGCAGCAGCCTGTGTCTCTAAAAAGAAAGCTGCTCATCATCTTGAAGACTCCATGGGGGTGGGAGGGCCATGAAGCAGGCTGTGGCAGAGCATTAAAAATCCCAGCTGGGCACGGGGCACACCTGTAACCCCAGAGGCTCGGGAGGCTGAGGCAGAGGATCACAAGTTCAAAGCCATCCTCAGCAACTTAATGAGACCATATCTCAAAAAACAAAACAACAACAACAAATATATATATATATATATATATATATATATTATAAGGCTGGGAGTGTTGCTCAGTGGTTAAGCACCCTGGATTTAATCCTTGGTACCAAAAGATAAAGAAAAATTAAAATCCATCATGATCCCAGAATGAACGGAGCCCACTGCACAGATAGGTGAGTCCTGAGAACATGCAAGTTCAGCAGCTCCCAAGCCTCAGGAGACTTCCCCTGGAGGACACAGGGGTTCTGTCCCTAGTAGGTGGAAGAGCCCCCAAGCACTGGAAATTTGTCAGACCATGGACGCAGCCAAGAATAGATCTCATTTTTAATCCAAAGGGACATGTTGGCAGACTGAGGAGGTCCTGAAGGACAGGCAGAGGAGGGTGGGAGCCGCTGGTGCTGGTTTGTCATCAGGTGGGAAGGCCCTGGCCGGTGACGCACAGGGCAAAGAGCTCACAGGAGATGCAGGAAACAGGCGACTGAGAGATGAGATGGGAGCTGGGGCTGGAAAGGAGAGACCTGGAGTAGTGGAGAGCAGCGGTGCAGGGACATAGTGCCGAGAGACCACTGGCCAGTTCTGGGCACTGCCTGTGCCAGGCCCCACTCAAAGCTCCAGCGAGCCTCCACTCAGCCTGGGTCCTAAGGGGCCCTGAGACCTCTTGTTCAGATGAGGCACCGACCAGCTGATGGGGGAGCAGGGTCAGGAGCCACACCTGGACATGTGAGAGAGCCACCGTTGTGCCTTTGAGCTGCGTAGTGTTCTGAGCTCTGTGGCCAGAGGTGCAGCTATGGGAATGACTGTGGGGTGCAGAGCAGGAAGGCAGAACCACCAGAAAGCCAAGGTCAGGCTCAACACCGCCAGATGCAGAGGTCCTTGAAGGACCTCACAGGAGAGCCCGGATGCCCATGGTGGGCCATGGAGAGGGGCGAGGTGGGGTGTCCTGGCTCTTGGCTATGGAACCAGACAGGTTCAGCAGTGCAGCTCTTGAAGTGCAGGAGGAGGGCCACGTAGGTCACAGCAGAACCACAGAGCCACCACCTTCCTTCCCATGTCCTAGGGCAGTTCCTGCAGGACTGGGTCAGCCGTCCATTAGGTGCTCATGAAGCAGGATGTGGCTGCATGGGGACACTCCTCAGAATGCTGGTCCTGACTGCCCTGTCTTCCCTCTCACAGATCACCTTCTTGCCAAGGTCAAGTCCATGTTCAGCTGCATTGAGCAACTGGAAAAGAGCCGGGGCCAGTATCTGGCCTGCCCAGAAGGTAAGAAGGCCAAAGAATGGGCTCTGTCGTTAGGGGCAGCCAGGCTGGGCTCAGAGTGGTCAGACGTGGTGCTGTGTGACTCGAAAGCAGGGAGGGTGAATAAGAATTGTGATGCATTCCCCTGTCATATATAAATAAATTTTAAAAAGAAATAAGTCACAGGTTAAAAAAGAAAAGCAGGGAGGAAGCAGGTCTGAACAGGACACCTGGACCTGACTGAGGGACCCTCCTTCTCTCCTCTGCAGATATTGGTGGGCTTCTGCACTCAGTGACCCTGCTGGCCCACTTGACCAGTGAGACCCTGGCCCATGGCAGCACTACCAGCCTCAGGGCCCCGCCCGAGCCCGCTGACTGTGAGTACTGGGGAGGAGGGGCCACCCCTGGAAGAGGGCCATCAGGGGCCATGAGTCACTGTCCCTTGCCTCTCCAGCTCTCACTGAGGCCTGTAAGCAGTATGGCAGGGAGGCTCTTGCCTATCTGGCCTCCCTGGAGGAAGAGGAAGCCCTGGAGAAAGCAGACAGCACCACCATGAGGACCTGCCTCTTAAAGATCAAGGCCATCGGCGAGGTATCCTCAGCGTTACTGTCATGGAGAACAATTATCACTCGTAGGTGTGGAAGCTGTTGAGCTTCCAGGGGAGCCGTGACACTCCGGCCACGGCCAGTTCTTTCCGCACATACGAGTCAAGGCCAACCTCCCGAAGCACTTTCCAGCCATATTGAGCTCACTGGCTGCTCACTGAGAAGGCACTGTCATCGTCACCATGCCAGACAGTAGCACAGAAGGATAAGCAGTTTTGCTGTCTCTAAGGACTGTTATCTGGTTGGGCAGGTGACACCTACAGTGGAGACAAGAGCATATTTATACATCCAATAAAGATGGAGTGACTGAGTCCCACGTACCAGGCATTGGGTTAGGTGGAGTTACGTGGGGTCAAAAGCATGTGAACTGTATGGGAAGGAAAAGTAAGAAAAGTAGCCATTACTTTACAGTGTGGTAAGAGCTATAATAGAGATCTATGTGAAGAGTACAGTATTAGATAACATTTAATTAATTCCTAAAATGTGCCCTAAGATTAGGGAAAGAAGGGGTCGGGGCCAGAGCTCAGGGCTCCTCATCTCCCATTTGGACTCATGGTTTTGCATTTGTACCAGGGATTGAACCCAGGGGCGCTTTACCACTAAGCTATATCCTCAGCCCTTTTTATTTTATTTTGAGACAGGACCTCCCTAAGTTGCTAAGGCTGGGTTTGAACCCGAGATCCTCTTGCCTCAGCCTCCTGAGTAGCTGGGATCATAGGTGAGGGTACCACACCCTGTTTCTGTTTTTGTTCCTAGGTGGAACCAGGGTCTTGCCCGTGCTAGGCAAGCACTCCACCACTGACCACACTGACCTACATCCCCAGCCCCCACTGGGACTTTCCCTCTGATCATTTTCCTTGCCTCCTTCTTCTGCTCTCTTCCAAAAACGGTGTTTTGATGATAGCTCTTTGTTGATAACAAAAATCAAAGTATGCAGCCTGACATACAAGGATCTTATTCTCTGGCCTTTATCTCACCTTGCTGGGCCCTCTCCCCCTCCCCTTGCCCTCAGCACTGTCATGCATCTGCTTACCTTTCTGATGCTCTCCAGGTGAGTCCTCAGAGGTAGAGGCCTTGACTTTCTTAGCCTCCAGCATATCTGGCAGGTGGTAGAGACCTACAAGTGTTCTGTTGCTTGAATGTCCATGTGAGGAGAGCAGACAGGGGAAGGTACGTGCTGAGAAAAGTGGGCACAAGACCCAGAGCCCTGGACTGCAGGTGGAGGGTGAAACAAACTGGCACAGGAGTGATTACGGGCACACCGAGGACAGAGGCATCAGCAGATTTATTGTCAGGCCCCTGACAGGCTGCTCTACCCAGAGAGGGAGAGAGAAAGAAGCAGCAAGCAAGGGAGAGTGGCAGGAGAGGGAGAGCGGCAGCAGCTCCCCCTTTGAGCATTACCTTTTATAGGCCAGAATCATGGCCGTCCGTTAGGGGCGGGTTTAGACCTTGTGACTGGCATAGCAAACATCACCTGATTTTGCAGATGGCAAGTTACTATTTCTTGGGAACAGAGATGGGCAACTTTTTATCTATCAAGGAGAGAACAGAGACCAGAAAGTTTCTGTCTCTTGAGAATAAGAACAGTGTGCATAAAGATGGCTGTAGTTAGGCCAACAGTCGGGAGCTGCTAGCTTCTTTCCCACCCAGATGGCATGATCACCTTGCTGCTTCAGCATTAAAATCATCTTATGGCAGTGATTAAGTGGGAGGTGGTGGCATAGGCAGCACTGGCAGAGCCTGCTGGAGAGCCTCCTCAGTGTGTTGCCCAGTTAGATAAACTTTAGGACTAAGTAAATATGGAGGACCCCGTGAGGACATGAAAATTACATTAATGAAAGCAAAGAGAAGTGTGATAGAAGGTCACAGACTGGCTTCCTTTCTGGCAATAGATTGACCAGGTATTCAAATAATCTTTCCCAGGACATGGACAATGCTGGACAAACTTAAATTATTATTATTTTTTTTTAATTGAGTGATCAAACTGGCTAAAAGCTAAGGAAGTCCTGAGGATTGCTAGAGTCAGCATTTGTCCTACAGACGTTGCCCCTCTCTGCTGACCTGGAGCTTGGATCAGCCACACATACGACACAGGAGAGAAGAAACAAGACTTAGGACTGAGTGGGCCAAAAGGTGGAGATGGAAATCCTGCCTCCCAAAAAAGGAATCCTAAATCGACCACACCTTGAGCAGTGGGGTCATCCTCAAGGCACGAATTCATGTGCCATACTTCAAAAAGCAATGAAAGTGTACCCAGAACCTGCCCTACAGAAGAGACTTCTCTCTTCCTTGGTTCTGAGGGAAGAAACAGGTCCCTAGAGAAATTTTAACCCCAAGCTACCATGGATATAAGGTCCAATTTCATACTATTTATATGGCCTGGAAAACCCCAAACAGAAAATTAACACTGTTGGGATGTGAGAGGCCTAGGTACCTGGCAAAAGATCCTAGCTATCGATAGAGGAATGTTCTTTGAATTTAGACCCCAAAGAAGGTTCACAGATAGATTTCCAAGGAATGTAAGTTTACAGTAAGTATGTTTGATGCATTTAAAGACATTTTTTAAAGGTAATAAACATGACAAAGGAATAAACTATTTTCAGAAGTACCAAGGAATATTTGGAAAAGAGCCATAGAACTTTTAGAAATGAAAAATATAATCATTGAAAGTGATAACTTGGGGGCTGGAGTTGTGGCTCAGTGGTAGAGTGCTTCCCTAGCATGCATGAGGCACTGGGTTTGATCCCCAGCACCACATAAACAAACTAAATAAACAAACAAACAAAAAAAATCTGTAAACTAAATCATTATTAAAAAAAAAAAAGTGATAACTTGGTATCCAATTTCAGCAGTTGATTAAACAAAGCTAAAGAGAAGATTAGTGAACTGGATGATGGAAGTGAAAGAATTTCACAGTGTGGCAGTGGTTCTATAAATTGGAATGTAATTATTAAGAGGGAAAAAAGAATGCCTAATTAGCTTTCTAGAGGAGGATAATAGAAAAGATAATAGACCATGTCCTCTTTTTTTCTGCCTAAATAATATACCATTAGTTATAGACCTTCTATAAATGAAATCTTAACTAGGCGTGATGGCATAGGCCCATAATTCCAGATCTTGGGAGGCTTAGACAAGAGGATAGCAAGTTCAAGACCAGCCTCAGCAACTTAGCAAGACCTTGTCTCAAAATAAAAAAATAAGCACTGGGTAAAGCACCCCTCAGTTCAATCTCTAATACCAAAAAAAAAAAAAAAAGTGACCCCCCTCACCCTCCTGACCTCTGTTTATCTTGGAGTAGAGGGAGGAAGGGAGAAGAGAGAATCCAGGCAACATACAAAGGGGATTTCAAAGGTAATGCATTTCCAAATGATAATGCTTCATAAACGAGTCCTTAAATTGAGTGGTGGGTAACATTGAGTATTTTTTCTTTTAAAAATGTATTTCTAAACTGATAACATAAAAATGTAAAAAATTGTACTTATCAATGGAATACCGAAGGTTTTCATATATGTGTACATCGCATAGTGTTTAGGAGTCCATTTTTACTCTTTAAACTATTCCTAGAATTGTGTGCTCTAGTATGGATCACACACGATGGTTCGGGCTTTGCAGCAGTTAGACATGCGATCAGACCCCTGCCTGCCCTTTGTCAGCAGTGTGACTGGTCTGGTGTTTCCCATCTGGACCTTGGCCTCCATTGTACAGCAGGAATAGGAACTGCCTCAGGGGGTTGCTGTGGAAGCAAGGGTCGGGCTTATTGGGGAACACTGTGTAAAGATACCTAGGTCTCCCATGCTGCAGGGACAGCTGTGTGTGTGAATATGAGCCTGAGGGCCCGAGTGGCTGCAGCTGAAGGAGCTTTGGAGTCAGACACTGGCTTTCTAGAAGGAGGGGTTCTGAGTGAGAGGAGAAGGGAAGGAACACGCAGTTCCAGATGGGGTCCATGACCTGTGGGGCCTCCTACCCTTTCTGTCTCAGAAGGTCTACAAAAGATCAGAGCAGAGGTCAAAGTGTCATTCTCTGTGATGCCATTCACAGGAGCTGTTGCCCATGGGCCTGGACATCAAACAGGAGGAGCTGGGGGACCTCGTGGACAAGGAGATGGCCGCCACTTCGGCCGCCATTGAAACTGCCACAGCTCGGATAGAGGTAGGACGTGAGTGCAAGATCTTCTAAACAACACTTGCAGCTGCTTCTGGGCAACCTTGCCCCTTAGACGTGTCTTGGTCATTCACGAAGGCTACAAAGGCCCGTATAAAAGAAACCCAAACCCAAATCATTGCATCCGTGAGGGGCAGGAAACAAGAGGTCGTCACTTAAGGAAGGTGAGCAGATTCCTCAAGGGTCAGGTGCCTTGGTGTCAGAATGTCCGGGGTTCAGGTTAAGGTTGCCGCTCATTAGGTTGCATGACTTGTGAGTTATGTCCACCTAGCCCAAACTCAGCCCCTTGTCTATAGAACAGCAATGATAAGGACACCTACCCCAGAAGCATTAAGTGGCAGCCCTCATCCGTGGTAACAAATCTCACAAAAAGCTGAGTGGGCACCATTGCAAAGGTCACATATTGCCCCTTTGGTGGGAGACTCAAGCCACTTGCCCTGGTGGAAGTACCTGCCTTGAGGACTGGGAGCCAGCTCTGTGCACATCAGCCTGAGTGCCTGAAGGTCAAGACTCTTGCTGACCACAGAGCACCTGCTGCACCTGCGCCCACCCCCACCCCCAGTAGATGAGAGGGCTGGGCTCTTTCCCCAAACCCTGCAAGGACACAAATGGGGACATCCAGATCCGGGATTCTGAGCTACCACAGCACGTGGGAGCAGGCACAGAAGGGCACTGTGGTCTCTCAGTACTCCAGAAGGAGGTGGCCCATCCGGAAACCAAGCTTCTTTTAACAGGAAATGCTCAGCAAATCTCGAGCAGGGGACACAGGAGTGAAGTTAGAGGTGAATGAAAGGTGAGTCCGAGCCACACAGCGGTGCCCAGGTGAGCAGAATCCAACTTCCTGGTGCCAGGTCATACCCTGTGTGCCCTCTAGGACTAGATCTGTGCTCCCACTGCAGCGTGGGGCCAACAGACCCCCAAGAACCACAACCGGCTGCTCCTTACCAAATCCACAGCCAGGGGTTCTCACTCGACCTCGTCGGTGTCCCAGCAACCTCTGCTCATTCCCTGCTTCTCCTTCCCATTCCAAGTCGGCTGTAGCTTGGGCTGACGAAGAGGAGAGTTTGTCTTGGCCTCTGTGTCTGACATGTTTGTTGTTCATTTTTCTCTTTTCAACAGGATCCTCGGTTCCTGCACCAGCCTGATGCAGGCCATCCAGGTCCTGATTGTGGCCTCAAAGGACCTACAGAGGGAGATCGTGGAGAGCGGCAGGGTGAGCATTGCTTGGAGCCCAGAGGCAGGCCTCATGGGCCTTGACCGTGGCTCCCCCACAGCCCCTGGAGTCCAGCTGAGCTGCGGGCCTGTCCTGTGTCCACAGCAGTCTTTTGATCTGGACAAGAGCAGGCACTAGGGGGCCTCCCCACTCACAGAAGGGCAGCCAGCCACAGCTTCCAGCTGCAGCTCGCACACCTCAGGTAGACTGGCTGTGGGAACCCCATGCACACTGCACTCCAGGTCCTTTGAGGAGGAAGTGTGGAACCTGGGCGAACCCCAGGAGCAGGCCTGAGCCGTCACCCCTAGGTGTCTGTCAGGTATCAGGACCCTCCCCAATTCCAGAACCCTTGGGTGATCAGATCCCTTGTACCCCGTGGCACAGGGTTGGCGTGGAGTCTGCTCACACCCTCCTGCACGCTCTTGCCCTGCAGGTGACTGATGATACCTAGTGCAGCCCAGAGGCTGTGGAATAGCTGTCACACTGCATTGCTTAGGGATTAATGACAAGAAAAATATCCCTCCGTGTTTGTTCAGTACAGATGCAGTACTTTTTTAAATATTTTTTTTAGTTGTTGATGGACCTTTATTTTATTTCTTTCTTTATATGCAGTGCTGAGGGTCAAACCCAGTGCCTCCTCACACATGCTAGGCAAGCGCTCTGCTGCTCAGCCCCAGCCCCTGCCCAGACACAGTGTCTTGAAACTACTTTCCATCTGTGTTTGGCTGCACCTGCAGATAACGGAGGGCCAGCCATGCTCACCGTGCACAAGGGCGCAGCCGGCCTGCACCCAGTGGCAGAGTCAGCCCATGCTTGTGCCCCAGAGAGCCCATTGTCAGCCCCTGGCCCACATGTCCCTTGGGTTCCTTCCCACTCCTCTGCTAGGGCTGGCGCTGGCCTGTGGGCCCCTCATATGCTGTGACAGCTGCAGCTTGGGAAGCAGAGCGCTGTCTAGGGCAGGGACAGAGCCTGACTCGTCCCAGAGAGGAAGAGTCTCTCTGCCCCAGAGGTGCTGTTTCTAGCTCCGGGGTCTGTTCCTCCAGTAAAAAGATGCAGCCAACCAAGAGCCTCTGCACACTCTCAGACTCTTCCAAGGCATAAACCCCTTTTTAAAATCCAAGCAGAAATCATGTTTGAAAAGTGTTCCCTGTCTTCCCTCCTCTTGGCAAATCATGGAGAGCCTGCAGACTCCCTCAGACCGCAACCACTCCTGTTACTCACAGAATGTACAGGCCCTCAGTGGACACAGCGAACTGCCAGGATCTTCCCGATGCAAAATCCAGGAACTCCAGGCTCACATATAAAATGGCACAGTGTTTGCCCATAACTATGCACATCTCCCATTTACTTTTTTTCGGGGAGTAGGTTCTGGGGGTTGAACCCAGAGGCACTTTACCACTGAGCCACACTCTCCGTCCTTTTTATTTTTTATTTTGAGATAGGGTCTCACTAAGTTGCTTAGGGCCTCACTATGTTGCTGAGGCTGGCCTCAAACTTGTGATCCTTCTGCCTCAGCCTCCAGAGCCACTGGGATAATAGACATGTGCCACCAACCCCAGTTTCCCATATACTTTAAAACATCTCTAGATAACTTATACATACTGATCTGATACCGGATTTGATATAATGTATTATAATTATGATTAGACTATAATATAATAATCTTATACCAATGTAATACCTGATTTGATAGAGTGTGAATGCTAGGGAATAATGACCAGAAAAGTCTGCACATGCTCAGTACAGATGTGGGGTTTTTATCCCAAATATTTTCAATCCCCAGCTGGTTGAATCCTTACGTGGACTCTGCAGGTACTGAGGGCCAACTACAGACACACAATGACGTTATAGAAATGCCACAGGCCTTGGTGTCAAGAAATCCCCATATTTACTTCCCCTTATTTCCTGGGTGACCTTGGGAAGAATACTTTTGCTTCCCTGCGTCTTGGTTCTCTTATCTTTGAAGTGGGAATAATAATGCTTGCTTCTCTGAGTTACAGTGAAGACCTGGTGGGACACCATAGGTAAAAGTCCCCAAAGCACAGTTATCTTTTGCTTCCACAGGGGACTGCATCCCCTAAAGAATTTTATGCCAAGAACTCTCGGTGGACAGAGGGACTCATCTCAGCCTCCAAAGCCGTGGGCTGGGGAGCCACCATCATGGTGTAAGTATGTGGGGCCAGGGCTCCTTCCCAACCCCCTTCCACTGACCCACCTCAGGGAACAGCGAAAGGAGATAGAAAGATCCGTCCCCTGATGAACGATTGATAGGACAGTGGGGCTACGAGTTTGAAAGGGACCTTGGGTCTCCTGGTGAACCCAGGTGTGGCAAAGGCAGAACCTGTCTGGCCAGGGACAGGGTTGGGCCGGCAGCGGGATTGTAGGGGTTTGGCCACGTGTGACCTTGTCTGTCCTCTCCTTCCTGACTGCCAGGGATGCTGCTGACCTGGTGGTACAAGGCAGAGGGAAGTTTGAGGAGTTGATGGTGTGTTCGCATGAAATTGCTGCTAGCACAGCCCAGCTGGTGGCAGCATCGAAGGTAGGACCCATGCTGGATTCTGCAGGACACTGAAGTGGGACTGACCCCAAGGACAGATGGGTTATACCTTCTGGGTTGGTTGAATCCCAAACAAAAATTCTGCCTCTAGAGGTGCCATACCCCACTCTTCTGAAGGCCTAAATCCAGCAAGGAGCCCTTTTTAGCTGGCCACAGGCTCTCCTGCAATCTCCTCACTCCTGTCAAGTGGCCTTAGAGGGTCCTAGCCTGGCCAGCTTCTGATTAGCAGTCCTGGCATTTAAGGAACACTCAGATAGAGAGCCAGTCAGCATAGTGATAAATCAGGTCACCTGGCGTGGCTCTGTGATTCCAAATAACCAAGTCTGCCTCTCCTCCTTGGTCTCCAGACTTGAACCCCTGCCCCAGCCAGTCCTCACACACAGCTCGTAACCAGAGCCCAGGGTCCCACTCAGTGACTGGTCTTCATTCATCCTTATTTCTTGCTGCCCAAATTGTTGGGTTCCCCCACCCACTTGATACCAGGAATTAAACCTACTGAGTTGCTTAGGGCCTCACTAAGTTGCTGAGGCTGGCTTTGAACTTGCGATCCTCCTGTCTAGGCCTCCTGAGCCACTGGGATTACAGGTGTGTGTCACTGTGCCCAGCCCCAAATTGTTTTTCACGACTGGAAGAGTCGATCAATGAGCGAGAAAGCTAGAGTTTGGCCAGGAAGCCAGGAGTAATCGATTAGACTGGGGACGTACCAGGAACTGACCCCACAGACAGCAGTTTCAGAGAAGTTGATTGGCGACAACAGAGTGTCTCGAGCCCTCAGACCAGCTGTCTGATCCAGCCTTGCTGCTCCTGGTGTGGTGAGCCTAATCTGCCTTATCCTGGCAGGTGAAAGCTGACAAGGACAGTCCCAACCTCGCCCAGCTTCAGCAGGCCTCTCGGGGAGTGAACCAGGCCACCGCAGGGGTCGTGGCCTCCACCATTTCGGGCAAATCACAGATAGAGGAGACAGGTAGCCGTTCTCTACACCCCTCCTCACTGCCCTCCCACGGTTCTATTGTAAGCTGTCATTTTCCGTCTCTGTCCCACCAGCTCACCTCCTCACCAGGTGGGGCACAGTACGCAGGCTGCTTATGCCGCTGCAGCAACTGGCCCTTAAGTAGATTTCTATTCTATCATTTCTCTGCACTGAGTCTGGTGGCCCTGGAGAGGTCAGATCCCGGCTGCCCCACAATCTCTTCATCCTTCCTTCCCCTTAATCCCTCCGTTACTTTCACACACATCTTGGTCAGTGGCCAGCCAGGCATTTCAGCAGAACACTGGTGTCACCACCTCTCAGGGGAGCGTCGGCCAGGGACACCGTGTGATAAGGCCTTCTTATTTCTGTCCTTGCAGACAATATGGATTTCTCAAGCATGACACTGACCCAGATCAAACGCCAGGAGATGGATTCCCAGGTGAGAGCAACCCCAGTCCTATCCCCTGGAGGAAAGCCAGAGAGACCCTTGGGCAGGGGATGAACACGGGTGCACTTTCAGCCTAAGATGGAAAATAAATGAGACTGCAGGAAGCTGGAGGCGGGGAGCAGTGGTTAGTAGATTCCAGAATTTTAACCCTTAGTGATCAGGGACCTTGGAGCAATCCACAAACTTAGTCCTACTATAGGCAGTTCTTTCAAAAACTGCTGATACAAATTAGAAATAAACTTTAGTTTAAAGAAAAAAGTGGATCCACTGTAACTTCATCAAAGGTGATGCCGTTTCATTCTGTGGCTCAGTAAAGTTATGCAGCACAGGAATCAGTGGGGTCCTAGGAAAAAAATCTGACATCTTTCCACTGGTCTTGGGGTAAAATTCAGATTGGGATTATTGAAGTACTATAGATAGTCACTCAGCGTCTTACGTAGCCACATTGCCGTGTATATACTGAAAGACTTCTTGCTCAGTGGTTTTATTCCGTCCTTCTTGGCTTTAAATACCATCTTTGTTCTGAGGATTGGACCCAGGGATGCTCAACCACTGAGCACTTCCCGGCCTCGCTGGAGACAGGGTCTCGCTGAGTTGCTCAGAGACTCGCTAAGTTGCTGAGGCTGGCTTGAACTCACAATCCTCCTGCCTCAGCCTCCTGAGCCGGTGGGATTACAGGCGTGTGCCACCACACCTGGCTAAACACCATCTTAATGCTGGTAAACACCAAATTCTCCTCAGCCTAGGTCTACTCTCTGCTCCCAGTTCCTGCTTGGTCTCCATTTGATGCCACATAAGTATCTCAACAGAACCTGCAGAGCAGGTCCCCACTCCCACTGTCTCCTTCTCGGTGAATGCACTGCCACCAGCACCTGGGTGCTGACCCACAAAAGTAGGGGTCGTCCATGGTCCCTCTCTTCCCAGCCAGCAATCCTGTGACTCTGAGTCTTGAGAAACAACCTCACTCTTTGCACTGTCGCCCATCTCCCTCCCCTGGTCTCAGCCACCATCGTCTACCTATGAGAGCAGCTGGCCCTGGCATTTACAAGTGTTTGTTTCAACATCGTCCAGTGCAGGGCCAGGTCGGGGGGCTGAGGCCGTCCGGCTGGGAGCGGAGAGTTGGTGGAGGTGGGCGGAAGGCACCGGCTGCCTCTGTCCTTCTGCATGTTTTACGTTGACTCTAATCAATTTTAATTGTAAAACAAGGAAGGAACCACTTGGCTGGCGCCAATGTGCTCCCACTCTGGACCTGCCACTGTCCACTCCTTCTCCATGTGATATTTTAAAAACACACAGGACCACAGGTCACCTCCCTGTTTAGAACCTTCCAGTGCCTTTGCTTTACACTAGGACAATATCCCGCCTGTGTCTCAGCCATCTCATGACCCTCTCCCTCTCTCGGGACCCACGCGGGGCTCTTTCCATTCTCCTGACACCTCAAGCCCTTTCCTCCTCTGGACCTTGGCCCCGCTCTCCCTTCTGCCTGGAATAGTCCTCCCTATATCTGAACCGCTGGGCTCTTCTGGCCATGTAGGTTTCAGCTTTCGAGGGTGACCTTTGTGGGCCAAGTCGTCCTGTCATTGTGGTCCTGTCCAGTTGTTCACGGAGGACGGGGCTTCAGTCCAAACCAGACAGGTCTTGCAGAAGAAGAAAACCACTTCCCTTCCGACAGGTCCGGGTGCTCGAGCTGGAAAACGACCTCCAGAAGGAGCGGCAGCGGCTGGGAGAGCTCCGCAAGAAGCACTATGAGCTGGCCGGCGTGGCCGAGGGCTGGGAGGAAGGTGAGCTGGCCCCCGTGAGACGGGGACCAGAGCCCGGGGTCCTCGCGCCCGCGGGGTAACCTTCAAGTCTAAAGCGGGGTAACCCAGTGGGTGGGAAGCCCACGCTGCAGCCTGGACACTGACCAGGGACCTCATCCTGCACTCGCCCTCCCCCACGCCTTCCCAGGCCACTCGCCAGGTTGGACCCTGGGACTTTCATCTCCTCCCGGCATGGAGGCCATAGTGGATGAATAATGGTCAGGTTCTGACTGTCCACAGCCAGCAACAGGCCATGATGGCCGAGAGACGAGCTGAGGAGGAGAGACGGGGTGGGATGGGGTCTTACTTAGGCCTCCAGCCCGGAGACCACCCTCAGCCAGTGTCTCTGTGCTGCTTCTCCACACATCCAGAGTGGCCGCCGGATCTCACCAAGGCCTCTGGTTCCTGGTAGACTTGACCGACTCTGGGGACCATCTACACATACCTCCTGGGGTTTCCTAGACACTGAACTTGGGGACAGATGATTGCTCCATGGTTATGGTGGCAGTTGGGGTTGGTTCACAAGTGCCATGTTACAGATTATCACTGTCTTTTAGGAACAGAAGCGTCTCCATCTACACTGCAAGAAGCCGTCCCCGAGAAAGAGTAGAGCCAAACCCGCGCCCCAGACGTCAGAGTGTAAATGCTCGTCACCCTTCTGTGTTTATGATGCCACAGACCTGGTCCCACACCTTCCCATTGACTAGAACCGGGGACCTGCATGACCCCCTCCTCAGGGACTCCCTGATTGAATCCATGATCTGTTGTCTCTCCCCACCTCTCAGTATCCAGGCTGGCCCACGCTGTCCACGTGCAAGCCCAGGTCCAAAGAGGCGGGGGGAGCTGGGCACTCCTGGGGAGGACACCAGCCAGTCCTGCGCTCTGCTCTACCTCCGTAGCAGCCGGTGTCCTCCTCAGAGGGACTGGGAGAGGACGAACTGATGCCTCTCCTTTTCTTTTTCCTTCTCAGTCTTTTCCGTTTCATCCTTTGCACAAACTTGCGAGCATTCAAGGGCCGGTGGATTCCAAACCAGGGCGCTGCCCGCGTCAGTGACTGGGATGGTGGGAGTATCCTGGCCGAGAAGGCCACCGTGGCACCCCCCCTTCGGCAGTCCTGCGGATTCCCAGTGCTTCTCATGGTGGTCGTTTGGGTCTTTTGGTTTTATATTTTGAAAGTTTCAGTCACTCAGCCAACTCTTCCAAAGGACACCCCTGGAGCCCCGAGCCACTGGGCCCCCGCCCCAGCAGCCTCAGCCCTGGTGCCATGCAGACTTTGCCTTGGTGCTCCAGCTCGGCCTCCTCGCTGAGTGTCCCGCTGAGCGAATGCCGGTCAGCAGAGGCCATTCACCAGGGGTGGGCCACAGCTCTCCTCAGGAGGCGGAAGCAGAGCGAGTGCCTTTCCTCCCTAAGGCTGGAGGCCAGCCGAGCACCTCTGTCCACCTTCGCAGGCAACAGGGCTCCAGGACGCCCTTCCTGGGAGCTCCCTGAAGGGGCTCACACACCTGATCACATGCTTGAATGGAGCTGGTGTGCTAGCAACACTACTTCCCTAGAGAGGATGGCCTGTGCCATGCCGTGGCAGGCAGGCCACCTCCGGGAGACCAGGCAGGGCCCCGGGGGAGTGCAGGAGGGTTTCCAGTTCCTTCCTTCAGCATCCTGCCTGGGCATCCTCTTGAACCTGAAGAAGAGAGTTCCATGTGCTACCTGATCGACATCTGGAAGATCAGACCTCCACTTGCTCCCATCAGGAAAGGACCCTTCGTATTTATTACTAACCTCCTTTATGCAGCAGCGGTCCACAAAGAGATGCTTGGAGCAATCGCAGTCGCCAGTGTGGCTGAGGCGAGGCTTATCTGCTGCCCTCAACACCTGTCTGTCTTCAGAGATCACCCACAGGGCAAGGGACCATCCCTGGGCTGTTCCTGGCTTGGATCCCAAAGCAAGCAGGTTCCTCAGAGCATTCGGAGCAGGGACCTGGAGAAAGGGGGACCACTGGCTCTGGCTTCTTCCAGCTACACGTTCCCAGCCCTCGCTGCCCTGTGACAGGACCTGGACAGAGGGCACAGCCGCCTAGAGATGGACAGCCTCACAGCACTTTTCCACTCCCGATGAACCCAGCATTAAGTGACCTTCTGATCTTGGAAACAACGGCGTCTTCCTTGCTTATCTGTAGCAGCTCATAGGTGGTCGCCAGCAGGCGCTTCCTCGGACCTGCCCCCAGAGGTGTCAGGAAGTCGGCCACATGACGGGTTGTGAGACTTCTGTTTGATCACTGTGAATCAACCCCCTTTTCCTTCCCACCCACCCCCCATGCCCTCTCCTTGCATTTTCTAAATGGGACACTCTAAAAATTGTCCCCCAGGAACTCTGATGACCGTTCTCAGGCGTGCAGCCTCTGTGCTGGGCTAAGGAGGCGTCTGTGGCAGCATCTGGGCCGTCCTGGGTTCAGTGCCTCTCTGTGCGAAATGTTTCTCCATCCCAAGACTCAGAAGGCGCCGCGTGCAGTGCCCTGGCCCACTTGTGCCAGTCAAGCTGATTGGTGCGTTCCCAGTGTGGGTCAGCCTTTCCAGAGGTGGTGGACCAAGTCCTCGCTTTTGTGGTCTACATCATGCACACCCACATGTCCCAAATTAATCTGTTCCGATATGCATATCAGAACAGATTAAAATTTCCTAAAATAACACTTGCTCTAAAAACAGTCATTTTAAAAACCCTCCTGAGCTCAGTCAGCCCAAGTAATAAAACAGTCAAGACGGCACTCGCCCCAGAGCACAGGCTGACCCAGTGTCACCACCTATCAGATGTCACTTAATCCCTTTTATAATAGCTCAGATGAGAAATTGTGCCATCCTCAAGCCCAAATCAAATTGTCTGTCTGGCTCTTCTAAAAAGGAGTGGGTGGGAAATACCTTGGATGAAAACAAAAATTCCATCTCAAAGCTGGAAATGAACCTCACAGCCTCTTCAATGAGTTCCTGACCTTCTTAGTAGCTGAAGTATCATGGGTGAATGCAGATGGTCCCCACACGCAGGCAGCCGCACAGTGATGGCTTAGGATTGGACAGCAGTTAACGCGCACACCTGCACCTGGTATCTAATTTTGTAATTCAGTCCTCTAATACCTTTAGAGTTAGCATATTCGTGTACATAATCAACAGAAAGAAAAGACCTGCTTTCTTGGGATTATTTGACATCCGAGCACAAAGTTAGGTAATAATTTAGATGACATGCTGATTCTGCTGCCCACAGCAGTATCCCTAAGATCCCACCTTGAATACAAGTCCCAGGGGCTGGAAGAACCAAACGGTCCAGAGCGTCCTCTCTTAGAGTTGTTTCCGCTACCAAATCAGACACCAAGGTTTATAACGGGCTCATAAGTACATGTCATTTTGGTCAGGCTGGTTTGCTTTGGCCTCTGGCCCCTGAGGAAGGGGGGTTCTCAGCTGGAGCCTGGGAAGTTCTCACTTCCTGGTTGGCTCCTTAGCATAGAGGGGTCTCCTGGCTCCATTTCATCCTGGTTTTTAACAGCTGGTAAGTGTCTTGCTAACTACCGCCTTTCCACGTCTCTGGAAATCCTGCCAAGGAAAGCCTTCCCAACATGGGCCTTCCAACCAGAGTGGCTTTGCCTTCTCTCTGCCATCTTGGTCCTGCAGAGACCGGACTTTCTGTAGCATAGGGATCCACCTATGGAGCCTGCCGGCCACCAGTGCAGCAAACCAAAGCGCCATCAGCTGCTCTTTCCTTCATCTCCCAGGACCAGTGACACACAATGGTGGCACTGCCTCTCTTGTGCCCCCAGGAGCCAAAGCAATGGGAAATAATGGGTTAGATGCCATTGGATCCAATTCTGAGAGTAGATCTTTCCAGACATGTCTTTCAGGTGACCCTCAACTACCTCAGGTTTGAAAGCCCTAAAGCTGATTACCACTAACAGGGACAAACCGAGGGGGTTTGGTTAAATCTTGGTGATAACACAAATGTCTCAAACTTATAACAAACTTAACCTTTAGGTTTGCAGGGATGGGGTTGGGTCTGGTTTTCTTCTGTTTTTAACCTCTTCCCCAGTTCTCCATTAGAGTAGTCCCTATAAATAAATTTCATTTTTCACTGAGTGCCTACCTTCCCAGGGCAGGTAGCCACTGGCTTTTGTTTCCTTCCAACAATACTTTTATTATGGTATTAAGAACTTTCTTTGTATAATACATTGCATCTGTGTTTTCAATTTTTCAAATAAATATTTCAGCCTGGCAATGGAGAATACTGGTGATAACTGGCCAAGTGGCCCTGAGGTCTAGGCTTCAGTGAAAAGCCTGTCCCAAGGTCTGTGGGATCCACTTAGCTCTGCATCTTTGGGAATATGGCTTAGAAACATGTGTTTCAGCTTCTTAAACATGTTCCATCCTCTGTACATGAATCTGTGGAAGGCACAAATGGAAAGGGCCAAAGGGGGCAAATGGTGATTTGGAAGGCCAGGTCTCTGCCTAAAATCTGAAGGCTCAGGCTTTGTCTGCTCCCTCCCAGACCTAGAAATGCTAAGATTGGATGTGACCACCATGTGTGATGGTACACACCTATAATCCCAGCTGCTCAGGAGGCTAAGGCAGGAAGATCATGCCTCAGCCACTTAGCATGGCCTTAAGAAACTCTGAGACCCTGTCTCTAAATAAAATACAAAAAAAGGTACCTGGGTTCAATCCCTAGCATAAAAAAAAAAAAAAAAAGATTGGATATAGCTGGGCATTATGGCGCACACAATTCTAGCCATTCAGAGGCTAAGGCAGGAGGATTGTGAGTTCAAGGCCAGTTTGGGGAACTTAGTGAGACCCTGTCTCAAAATGGAAATGTCCAGCCAGGCATGGTAAGGCACGCCTGTAATCCCAGCAGCTCAGGAGGCTGAGGCAGAAGAATTGCAAGTTCAAAAGCCAGTCTCAGCAATTTAGCAAGATCCTATAAAAAGGGCTGGGGATGTGTGGCTCAGTGGTTAAGCACCTCTGGGTTCAATCCCTGGTACAAAAAGAAAGAAAAGGGCTGGGGATATAGCTAAGTGGTAAAGAGCCCCAGAGTTCAATCCCCAGCACCAAAAAAGAAAAAAAAAATGATAGGATGTGACTAATTTAGTTGAGGGACAGAAGCTGCCAATGGAGAAGGGACAGTGAGCAAGCCAGTCGCAGCCATCAGAAGATTTGCAGAGAAGCTAATGATGGGGCTAGGCTGCAGCACAGTTCTGCCAGTGTGGACCCAAGGAGACGAGTAGGGGGGAATCGGGTTGGTGGCTGGAGGAGAATCCATAGTTGAGGAGCCCAGAGAACCAGGAAAAGGAGAACGTGTGGGAACTGCTCAGGGGAAGATGGTCCAGATAAACTTGGGAGATGGGGACTCTGACCCACAGCTGGGCTTCTCCACCCCTTGACACAGAGTGCCAAGATCAGCCTGCCCCATCTGAAGCAGCTCTGACCTGATGGACAAGTCTTGGTCACAGAAGTCCTGCATGTCACCCCCAGAGCTCGTGTGTGAAGCTCAGGGTTCCAGAAAGCCAGGCGTCAGGGCTGCCTGGGGGAGCCCCATGCTTCAAAGTGGCTTCACTGAAATTGACTCAGTCCCCTTCAAGACCTGGGTGTGGCCTGGGCCAGCGGGACTGCCCAGGCAGAGCCTTTATCCCCTTCAGGTGCTCTCCAGCCAGGGACCCTCCCCCACCCGCACATGGCCTTGATCTGGTGTCCTAGAGGCTGGAACTCATGCCCAAGGGGACACCACAGCTCCAGGAGGGTAGCTTGGCCAGCTGGTCACTCAGTCCAGCAGAAGATTCTTAGAAGAAATTGTGAGATCAGCCACTGAGTGATGGCTGGTGTGCCATTATACAGGCAGCGGTCAAAGTTGCCAGGGGACTTGGGGTGCTGCGAAAGTGGAAAGGAACAGACGGTGGAGATTGGCAGGTGGAAGAGGAGCCCAGAAGAAGGTGGAGTCAAGGCATAGGGCCCAGGCTGCTGAGAACAGCTGTGAGAGAAGAAAGCCTTTGAGGTTTTTGTTGCTTTTCTTTATAGATATGTATACATGACAGCAGGATATATTGTGACATTTCATATATGAACATAGGAAAGTTCTGTCTGATTCATTCTACTGACTTTCCTGTTTTAATCCTGTTCCTCTTGGCCTTCTTCAGTCTCCAACCCAACATACGGCACCCGACGCGTGGTAGTCCTTGGGTCTGAGTGAATTCTCTTTTATGCTGTATTCTCATTTGCCTTGCTCTGCTCTGCCTGAGCTCACAGGCTATTGAGAGAAACAAACAACATGATCCAATAACCGCAAAAAGGGCAACACTACCCTGAAGTAAGCAATAAGGATAGTGGTAGCAAGCTCCTAGAGCCTGGAAGGAGGAAGGAGGGAAAGCTCGCTCCCAGTAGGAGTTGCATGTGCAAAGGTTCTGTGGCAGGATGCTAGAGCAATTAGCTGGAGGCCAGAAGGGTAGAAAATTAATCTGGAAAAGAAGCAGTTGATCATTTAGACAATGGAAAATGGCTGGTAGACTTTAAGTAAAAGAGATGACAATATGAGATTTGCTTATTTATTTTATTTATTTTGTGGTACTGGGAATTAAACCCAGGGCCTCATGCATGCTAGGTGATTTCTCTACCACTGAGCTACATCCTCAGGTCCCTTTAAAAAATATATATTTTGACACAGGATCTCACTGAGTTGCCCAGGCTGGCCTTGAACTTGTGATCCTCCTGCTTTGGCCTCCTGAGTAGCTGGGATTACAGGCAGGCGCCACCCTTGTCTAGCTCCATGCGATTTGCATTTTGAGAAGATCATTCTAGATGCAGCATGGAGGACAACCCCAACTAGAGCATGAGTAGATGGGCAATCCAGGAAGGCGCTGTTGGAATAGTCCAGGCTGAGGATGCTGGGAGGTGAGACAAGATGGGGAGAGGCCATGAAGACACATGGAAGATCAAGGCAGGAGTCTGTTCAGGTTGAGGAGCGCAGGAGAGGAGCTTCCGGGGAGGGCTCCCAGGTTTCTGGCATGTGGAGCCGGTAGTGCCGTCCACTGGAGGGATGCTGCAAGGGGGCCAGGCTGCACAGGGATCAGGTCTCAGTGAGATGCCCTCTGAGGCATCTGTGTGAAGATCCTAAGTGGGCCCCTGGATGATAAGAGAGGTCAGAGGGATGGCATTTAATGGTCTGGAACCACAGCCGGAAAAAAAAGGGCGGGTAGGAAGAAGGTCCAGAAGGGAGCCTGGAGGAGTTTCAGTGTTAAAAAAACCAAAGACAGGTGGCTATGTGCACCAGGAGCCTTAGAGAGGACAGCTTGAGAGGCAGGGGGACATCAGGAGAGTGGGGGATTTGGAAACCAAGGGGAAACAGTGTTGAGGGGAGCGGAACGCGTCAAGAAGTGCTGTTCCGACTGAATGGGACAAGGGGATGCTGCAGGAATGTTGGGATCATTCCCAGATGGAACATCAGGAAGGGCTGCTTTGGAACTGTCCCTAATCCTAAAAGGATAGATCTGACTTCACCAAGTTAAGCAAGAGGATATGCCAGGTTGGGGGAAATGCCACAAAAGAAATGTTATATTTACATTATATTTATTATAATAACCTCGTCTTGTGAGAACTCTTCCATTCCCAAGTAAATTAATCTAGTCTGTCAAGAAAGACATCAGAGGCTGGGCGCGGTGGTGCATGCCTGTAATCCCAGCGGCTCAGGAGGCTGAGACAGGAGGATTGTGAGTTCAAAGTCAGCCTCAGCAAAAGGGAGGCACTAAGCAACTCAGTGAGACCCTGTCTCTAAATAAAATACAAAATAGAGCTGAGGATGTGGCTCAGTGGTCGAGTGTCCCTTGAGTTCAATCCATGGTAATCCCCTGTTAGGTGCAGGAAGGTTGAACTAAGTTGTCTGCAGGGCAGGCTGAACGAATGTCAGCTGCAGGATAACCCATGTACTCAAACCCCTCTCTGTCTGGTCCTTTATCACCTGTTTGCATCAAATCTGAACACTCAACCTCACTCAAGGCTGAGCACTCGACCCCCACAGGTCTGGTGCGACAGAAACCTACATCTGACCCCTGTCCCTCTGCCTGAAGGCGGAAGATGACACTACTGTATGACCCAATCACTGTACGCCAACAAGGCAGCTTGCAGACCCAGAGACCCCATTAGATTTGGGCTATAAAAACTCCCTCCTGCCAGGCACCCCCCCCTCTCTCCCTTTCTCTTTTTCTCCTCTTTTGCACTGCTGCAATAAAGATCTCTTGATCACTCCGAGTGTTGTGGTCACTTACCTTCCACCACCCCCCCCACTCAAAAAAAGAAAAAGTAAGGCATCCATCCCTCTTAAAGCCCCACCTCCAACACTACTCTCTTGTCAATCAAATTTCAACATGAGTTTTGCCAGAGACCAAACACATTCGAACAACAGCACTGGCTATAGGAAGTTTGGGGGGAAATCTGTAGGTCACAAGGATGTATACCAGAATTTCCAGTCCACACCAGGACCACAGTTCCATTAAAGCACATGGAGAGAGAATGCAGTTCCTTTCACCTGCTCTTTGGAAAATCTGAAGCTGGACTGGAGAAAACACAGCCTGGTTTAGCAGGGGGTGGAGATGGGCAAAAAGAGCAGAGTGAAAAATCACCAGCGTGAGTATGGAGATGAGTGGTCCTATGATCCAAGCCCATTTGGGGACTGAAGGGAAGCCCAGAGAGCTGCTGGGCTTTGGAACTGGAGAGAAGAGGGAAAATGCATTTTAAAGTGTCAAGGATTATAATTAAATATGGTAAGGAGGACATTTCAAGGAAGACTTTATTCACAATAGTAGAGCAACCACTATGATGGGGCATTAGTGCAGAAGAGAGAAAGAGAGAAAGATTGGGCTCGACTTCAAATACAGCACAGGCACGGAGAACTTGATAGCTAAGGAACGGAATGAGGAGTCCATAGATGGGAAATTACTAATAGAAAACCTCAGGGGTGAGGGGAATTTTTGCTTGAAACCAACCCAACAAGACTCTTGCGGAAGGCAGGCCAGGGCATCAGACATCTTCCGGGCGGGGGATCGGAGGGATGGTGGAAGATGAGAAATGGGAAATACCTCTCCATTTAGATATTAAAGGTGATCAGATACCAGAACTGACCTCTTCACAGGACTTTTCCAAAATCAATTTGTGTGACTTCAGATGAGCCCGAGTAGAATCTGTTCAACTACAGAATCTCTTGTCAGAAGGAGAATTGGAGGAATATGAACTATTCCC